CGGGGGACCTTCGATGCTGGTTTATATGGCCTCAGTTTATACGGCTCTCCAATTAGTAATGAGTATAATGCCTTCATACTTGGAAGCTTAACAGGTTCCCCATCGCAGCAGCTGAGAGCTTGACAACAACCCACATTTTTTGGCACAGACCTAGATGCTCTGGCAGGGATCCGCAAGAGTGCCTTCGTGGAGTCCAGATCACGCCACTTCACGTGAGCTAGCTAAGGTACATAACATGCTCGAAGTCCTTTTGAGGAACTTCAATCGTCAGCAGCCTTGCAGGTATGGCAGTTTCCATACATGGAGGAAGACAAAGATACACAACCCCAAATACTACCATCATTCTTGTAGAGCCTCGCAATAAGCTACCCCTGATTTTGCAAAACCCCAAAAAAATTGTTATCAATACTATGTCGGCTTGCACCACTGCTAAAGATGTGTTTTGCAAAGCAAACTGGTCCAAAAGATAGGGGGAAGCCTATGAACGGAGTGCCCACACCGCAGAAGGTCTACTCACATCTTGGCTCCTGTCTTGAGGGTTTTCCAAGTATTTATGTAAGCGTATTTCAAGCTCAACACGAGTTCTTGCAAACAAAGTAACGAACAGGCACCACTAAAGCATGGTCCTGTGTGGGGTGTCTGAGGAGTTGACACACCGTACTTGAACCCAAGGGCGTCTGAGTATTTCGGGACTTAATAATGCTGGAAATCAAAGTTGGGTCCTTGAGCCTACTGCACGCGTTGGAAGATGGACCACGCAGGCGCAAGGATCTTTGCCCTGAATGCCCAGTGACGTTCAGCAACCACGCGCAATCTGGCATGAGCATCAGCAAACTAGACATGATCTGGTAGTTTCCCACAAAGCGGGTACACGAATATAGACCACAAAATACCATATCCTTCACTATAAGAAGAATTAGCCCTAATTTTGGCAAACCCCAATCTGGCACCGTTCTCAATAGCGGAGCCAGCGATTGCAAGTCCATGCCCAGCTTCGCCTTACTCCCACCACCATGATCATAATTTCATGGTCTTGCACTGTAGACAAAATCTGCTCAATGTGGTGTTCAAGTAGACAAACATGAAACCCGTTGTGATGTGAGGGATGATACAGGGGTTACAGTGTGGCATGGATCCTTAGTGGGCATAGTGCTGTAGGTTAGGTTGAGAAACTCCCATGAAGGGTCTGCTCAAGAAAAATGAGGCGATATCAGTTGCAGTCTTGATTTGTCGCATCATGGCAAACGCCTTCACAATTGCCCTCCTCATATGCAAATGCCTCACAAATTTACAGGCATGGAGTTTATGGTTCAGGGTTTAGGGTTCAGCGTTAAGGGTTCAGGGTTTCAAAGTGTACGTAGTTCCAATTCCTGTGACGGAGTACCGCCTATGCCTCAATGGATACAGTGAGCTTGATGAGCCCCGTTTGCGTAGCCTCAGCCAAGGGGCAGACACAGATTACATGGATAAGTACGGCTGTTTGGGGTTTGGGGTGGGCGGGGGGACAGTTGAGGATTTGAGGATCGCTTGGGGATCGTGTAGCTTGCGATGATGCAGCCATGCCGTCTTTTCTAGGAAAGAGACGCCGTCTTCTTGCAGAAATGGCCCCGCTATGGCAAGCTGCTTGCAACACTGCCAGGACACTTATTGATAGGCGCAACCGCCATAGAGTCATTACAAGAGCCATAAACTAGACATAAGACCGGAATATTTCATGACATGTAACTGGCCTCATGCCTTTCTCCAGTGCGAGCGCTGGTGCTGAGAGGCGAGCGGCTTAAACTCAGTTAGGTCTGAGCTGGCTGTAACAAAAAGATTAAACTCTAGACCCTAAACCTGGTACAGTGTTTGTTCTGGGGTTGGTCTTGAGTCCTGGGCTTGATCTCACAGACAATTTTTGTCCCAAAAGCTCAAAAAGGCGAGCCTTTACTTGTTGAGGGAGTGACATCGTAACCTTTGGACTACTCGGGGGCTATTGATCTGAGGTTGGCAGGCTTCAGGCACAAAGAAGCTAGCCCTCATGCCTACACGGAACCATGGGTCGAAGCAACCTTAAACACTCCGCCACGTTCTCCTCCTTGAATCACGTGCCCTGTACTTGCGCAGCATTTCCTGTTCTCAACTATTTCATGGTTGTTAATTATTATTCTGAGCTATTACATTATCATCATTAACTGCTATATGTTCATTATTTTTTCTACGACTCTCATTATTAACTATTATTGCTGTGGTTTGAGTTTTTTCTTTGGGTTCAGATCAAGTCTCGCGTGCCTTGCCATGTCCTCGGATGAGGAGTCTCGGAATTTGCCACCGTTTAACCCCCAGCGCACAGAAGGCAGCGGAAAGAGGCGCTCCCAAACTGTGAACATCTTTCCTGCCTTGTAAAGTGAGCTGTAGTCTAAACTCGTTAAAAGGGGGTTATATAGGGGAATAATATTGGGGTCATTAAGGGGGATACTAGGAGTTTAGACTACAGCTCAGGTGGCCTCTATTATCTTTTCTCCACTGGTTACTCACTAGTTTATGATATTCTTCGCCGAACCCGCGCCGCCAGCCGCCCACCGCCCACCAGCATCATTTCCGCAAAGTCCCGACAATCACATTATCAAGTGGGAGTTTCCTAAAATTAGGGGTACTTTTTTGGGGGGTCCCTATAATGCTGATTATAGTATATTGGGGTCTATATTGGGGTCTCCTTATTTTGGGAAACTACCAAGTTGAGTCTGTGCCTGACCGACCCATGGGATCAGGAAAATTCAACTACTTGCTTTCTTTTGTCCTTGTAGATGTTTTGGGCAGCAGAGATGGGGTTCTACTCGGAGGCAGAGGCAGAATTAACGGGATGCTGTGTGTGAAGGGTAGCAGCACTTCCGAAAATGTATCGCAAACCTTGCATGCAGGTTCACAGAGATTTGAAATTGTTCTGCCTCCTTTTGGGGAGTCAAGTTCCCACTCGTCCTTGTCACTCCTTTCATACTAAGGTTTTGGTAAACTCGGCCCCTGTGATAAGGACGCTGTATGATAGTCCTGCTGTATTCATTTTTCGAGGTTGACGTGGCCACGATCCCCTCATCTTACTGGTGATAAGTGGGGAATAAGGGACCCCCATGCGGCCCTATATAACACATTCCCTTGTTCCCTACTAACCCCCAGTACGTCATTGCTACTCCTACGAAATCGGATTCTAGAAGAGGCCTTTCTGGTATTACATGGACGACGACCCCAAGGAGTACAAGGACACCTGTCAAATGCCAGGTTCTGTACGAGCCAGCTTACAGTAGTCACCCATATAAGCCCCTAAATAACCCCCCTTCAAGGAGCTTCTACTTTTGCTTCTTCCAGGGGAGGTAACATTGTCAGCTTTAGCTAAGGGGCAGTCCTGAGCTGCAGGATGGATACAACTCAGGGAAGTAACTTGAAGTAACTATTGTTATTCCCCTAAACTCTAAATCCTAAACCCACTATGCGCTGACTGGGACAGCTGCCTCTGCACCGTTTTAGGTTTTGATCTCTTGTCGTCGCCCATAATGGGTCAAACTTAGTGGTTTATCATGCCCGGAAAGAATCCCATAGTCCAGAGCTCGCCCTTGTCAAGAGAGTTTAGGTGGAGTTTAGGGTTCAGGGTTTGGGGTGTAGGTAGGCCTTCGAGGGTTTAGGGTTTAGGCCCTGAAGCAGGGAACCATGAGTTTGAGACGACCCTCTTGAGACAGCGGTGCCTATTCTCAAGAGTTAAAACTTCCTATATGGTTCTTTCCTTCTAGGGACCCCAATATAAACCCCAAAATATTATTATCCTGATTATACGGGCCTCCAAAAAGGAACCCGTAATTTTGGGAAGCCTTCTCTGCGTATTTTTCTCCGAGCTGGGGTGTGGAATAAGCTGCGTCGGGACATCCATCGCATATGATAATTTGGCCCTTGAGATCACTTGCCTCTTTCCATACTCCGAGAAAGCTTGATTCCATACACAACCCACATACTATGGATCAACACTAGAGCACAGGTAAACTTCTTGGGGAGGTTGTGCGTGGCACTAATTGCACTGATGGCTGCGGCAGTCCCAGAAACCGTAGCAATGCCATTGACAGACCAACTGCTTGCAGTTCTAGCGAAACACCTCAGGACTTACCCTGGTCAGCGCGGCTCTGCAACAAGACCTATGATACAAAGGACCACTTCAAAAAGATCAGGCAGCTATGGCATCAGATCAGGGGCATTTTTTGGGTTGCTCTTTAATGGGGTGTTTTGATCCTTCCTGCTCCAATAGAGGTTCGCAACCCTGCACGCGTTCGTGTTCTTAGCAGGTAACTTTCTACGCCCTCAGTGAAATGAGTACCTGTTTGCAAAGGCTTGCAGCAGGGTTCACATATGGTGGGGATTGCCACACAATTCCATGGGAGCACTCTCGCGGAATGTTCACGTGCAACCGACCAGCCAGCGCTGTGAAATTAAGAAACACAAAAATGTGCGATATCCTGAGGCGGCGTTGCAAGACCAGATGCATGGCACAACACCGCTGGGGGGAGTTGGAAAACAAGCAGTACTTCCAGAATCTTGGTCATCAGGGTTGGAGATTTTTCAGGCAAGACTGTGGCCGCATATGTCCAACATGATCCAGAGTTTGTAGTGCAAATCCAGGAACGACGCGCTGCCAGATGATGCTCCCAACTATCTGAAGATGTTCCTGGTGGCTGACTGGGGCTCTGGGCACAAGGACCATCCGATGGTTGAAATCCCCTTCGACCAGACATTTCCAACAAAGGCTACGCGAGCTATACAGCTCATGTTGACCAAGCCGGATGAGTATCTGGGTTCCTATTTGACCAAACTGTAAAGTTTAGGAAGACTACCATCTCTATAGTCTATAGTCTAAATTCCTTAAAGGGAGGTTATAGGGGAGTATTTTAGGGGTTGTTAAGGGGGATGCTTCGAGTTTAGACTATGGCTCATGTGCTACAGTGATTCACACGTTTGTGTGCAGTGCTCTGGCCATTACCCAGGTTTCAAGCAATGGTTGCCACCAGATCGGCCTCTGGTAACACTTTACAAGTCTGTTAGTTGGACTTAACAAGTCAGCAATCCCCAAACAGCCGAAAACCCCCAAACCCTAAACGTAAAACAATGGACATGGACGTAAGCCCCAAATTAATGTCTGACACCTCCCTGCACTCCCAAACAGATTCACTCTGAGGTCCTTGACTTTTCAGAAACAGGGACCCCAATTTTCATAAACCCTAAACCCAGAGACCCAAATTTGCAGAGATGCCCAGATTCAGGAGAAGGTAGGTGGCCTCAGGGAATCGGATCTTCCAAACGATTCCTGGGACATGGTCAGGACGTCGGCTAGGGGTATAGGGGTGTCTGGAAGTTCCCTGAAAAAATGTTTGTCAATTTCTGCTCATCTATATTCTTAAAAACCAGCTGAGATCAGAATTTCCACTCGGCTTCCAAGCAACTTAGAGGTTTGGGGTGTAAAGCTTCAAGTATCTTCCATCACTTGTCATTTGCATCGATCGTTCGCTTCTGGTACCTGGTGTTGGGGGCTGCTCACTACTCATGGGTTCCCCTACTTCCCCCCCTTTTTACTACCCTCTAGGTTCCCTACTTAATTAAGAATTCAGGGTTAATTAAGCCTAATCAAGGGGGGAACCTAAGGGGTAGCATAGAGGGAGGTAGAAGGGGAACCCATGAACTACGAGGACAAACTTGTGCTATCACTTCTTCTTCAGGGAAGGACGATGCCCTTACTGGAAGAATTGCATCTACCTGCATGCAAATCTGGAGACACTTCGCAAAGCCTTCAGACAGTACAGGCGGGATCCCTAAGGGTTACATGGATAGTTCCCAAAGTTAGCGTCCCATTTTGCACCTCTAGATATTAGGTGCCGCAATATGAACTAGAACCAGGAGCCTAGTTCCGAGAACAACCCACATAGAGTTTATAAGCAGGCTACCCTTTGTTTTGTTTGGGGGAAGCCCCTCTCTGAGACACAGCCAGGTGCCGATGCGGCAAGAACGGTGGCATTTGCGCTTACAAATGTACCTACGCCCACTCAGCAGGTACCTGGTAGTTGACCAAAATCCATGTCCTGAATTGAGCTATACTCTCTCTAGACCCGGTTTTAGGGTTTAGAGTTTAGGGTGTTTATACGGGGATTATATAGGGGAGTATTATGGAGGTTATTAAGGGGATACTAGGAGTTTAGACTATGGCTCACTTGGCTTTGTGGAAAGAAGTTCATGTCGCATAAGAAGCCTTCGCTACTTGACAGGTAATGCTCCTACATAGACTCTTTTTTGGGGGGAATACGAGAAAGGAGTGCACCAGGTCAGCTGACAATTCCGGACGAACTGTTCACTCCTGGATTTCCTCTGTCCCAAGGGCGCCAAAAGGCCCGCGAACTGTCTTGGATGAATCTGGATACTTGTTGATTTACATTGTGCTCTCTAGGTTAGAAGCCAGACAGCAAGAAACGAAACAATTTGCTAATATTATCAATGTTAGTAATAGTTAGCAGTTGTAACCCTGATAATAAAAAAAAGTAGTTAGAATAATACCCATATGAATATCACTATTATGCTATGGTCCCAAGAATGGTCTAGGAATGACGCTGGCGAGCTGCAGGGCAAATTCCGCATCTGGGAGATGTACATAGCAGATACAACGGGAAAGAATGAGAACCGCCTTTGCAGTGATACCTTGTGCACCCAGGCCAAGTGCAAGAAAGGCGGGTGTTAATCAAACTGGTCTCAAAAGGAGGTGTTTATCGTCAGAACAGAGTATGCTTGCAAGCTTTGAGACGATAGTCCGACTCCGTTGCTGCCTCACAAAGCCACTCCAACAAAATCATCATCAACCCTAAGCCCTAAACCCTGGGGGTAATACCTCTAAACCCAATATATCCCCATATGACCCATACATACATACATAATCCCTATATCCCCTAAACTGTGACTTCCACTCTCTGTCAAGCAGCAGTAAGTCTAGTGCTTGACTTCTGAATCCAATGTTTTCAGGTTGGTCTCTTTAGTTCCCCTCCCCAGAATCAACTCCAAGAGTATCCCCTTACGCGAAGCAAAGCGCTGCACGACTGAAAAATCCAAAAGCCCTCAGCCAAAGTCCGTTGACCTTACTGTGGTTACAAAGGAATAAGGGAATATGGTAGCTTACATAAATAGGGGGACTCCAATGCAGATCCCGCAAATACTACCATCCTCACAATGGGGACATTCAAGATGGTACCCCTAATTTGGTAGGGATACTAGGAGTTTAGACTCTGGCAGACTTTGGCTCACACGAAGTTAGCAGAAGTAGAGCATATAGTCCTTTTATGATCCTAAAATGATCCCTACATATTCCCTATGTCATCCCTACATAATATATTCCCTGCTTCCCTCCTGCATCGAAAGCCTAAACCCTAAATCCTATAAACCCTAAACCCTGTAAACCCTAAACCCTGTAAACCCTCAAACCCTATAAAACAAACTCCCTTAGTCCCTATACACCTCAGGTGTTCACATCTTGCCGGAGGGTTGGGAGTGGCTCCGCCTGGAAGCTGCAGAGTCAGGTCGGGAGCTCCCTGATGCGCCGGTTTACTTCCCGGACGCCAGGGACAAGGACCTGGGGCTTTTAGGGTTGAAGGGTGGTTTAGGGTTTAGGGTTTAGGATTTAGGGTTTAGGTTGGGTACTGCCCCCACCCAGTAACAGTCTACATTAGGGGTCCTTTTAAGGGACATATAACCATATTATACTTATTATCCAACTGTTACTGAGTGGGGGCAGTATCCACGGTTTAGGGTTGAAAGGCGTAGGGGTTTCGCAGTCAAGGGTTTAAGGATCAAGGGTTTGCGGGTGTGCTTGGGAGTTTGGGGCTTCAGGGTGTAGATTTTGAGCTTTGCCACGGTTCTTATGGATTGTAGCGTGGGTGATGCAGCGATACCCAAGACTTTGCGTACTCCGGGTTTCTGGAAACTTGCCGCTCCGAATCGCAGTGGTTGGGTAAGCAAACTTCTTAAGCCCAATTCGAAGGCGGTTTCTGTGCAGGGCTTTATGCTTTTGAGAAGCTGGCTTCAGATGCTGCAGAGGTTGGCAGGCAACCAAGGAACCTGATCAGCAAGATTTGGTTCTTATGCTGGTTAGGGAAGAGGTCTTCCTCAAGACCCAGTTTGTGGACCCCTCTAAATCCTGGCCCTAAGCCCTTAAGCTGAAGCACCTCTGGCTGAAAAAGGACAAGAGTAAAATGGTGAAAGCATCGCGATGGAACGAAGGCCGACCTAACATATCACAGGCGTGTGAGCCAGACCGTGCCTGCAAACTCTTCCGAGCAATCTCTTTTCTCGTATTCCAACAGTAAATCTGAGATATGAAGGCTGTTGTCCTGTTTTCACATGCCAACCCTTAGGGAATGGCTTTTCAACCCTAAGTTTTTCACACGTTTCTCTTGAGGCTTCGGGAAATCAGGTCAGCTTGTTCAGGAAGCTGTGGGAGGGCCCTCTCGAGTGCACCAGGGAGCAGAAAAAGCAAGGCCTGGGCCAGCAGCTCCGCTTACGAATCCGCCACGATCTGGAGCTGAACCGGCCTCTGCCCTCGAGCTGACAAATTTTCCGACGCTGCCGACAAGAAGGCCTGAGCCGGTGCCTCCTTTGCAAAAGAAGACGGGCACGCAGAACAAGGCGGGCAAGGGCACATGTCAGTCCGAGTGCAAACATGTGAAAACTGTGTAAGTGGCCAGGGATGAACTTTGTCAAGAACACCGGATCCTCAAGCATGCTGTGTTTGTAGACTGGCAGGCAGAGGGGAATGTGTTGTCAACCAACAGAAGTATGGCTGCAGGGATCAACAGGACTGCACAGGATCAGCGACACTGTGAATTGAGGACAGAACTCGTGGAGCACGTACAGCATGGCATCGAGCACACTTCAAGCATCTCCAGATATCATAAACTGGGTTGCTGTTAAGGACTTTACACTAAGTTATTAAAATGGATACACAACAAATAAACACGGTTCCTCGAGTATGGCAAGTTAAATGAAGCCCCTTGACAGCAACCCAGTAAATGCGTCACAATGCATCTGGATCAAGGATTCCAGAGCAATCAACCTGCAAAGCAGATGAACTTCTTGACATGAATGTCTCCGGAGGTCTAAGAGTTGTGTTTCTTGGCTTTTGTTGGCGTTCATGGTTTTTGGCGTATTCTGCCGATCAAAACCAGCATGCTCGTCAAAGGTTCTTCAGATCATTTTCCTTCCACTTGCTATTTTAAGCCGCATGCTAGCTTGAAAAGCAAATGCTGGGATTGCCAAGCTCTATGACGAGCTGGCTACGATCTTGGCTAGGAACGCCTTAAACATGTGCGGTGTGCAGCAGCATCTTGAGCACTTGCGGCGTCATCTGAACCAACACAGCTAAACGTTGTACCAACTGGCGATGAACGTCTGGAGTGTGAGGTCACAGAGCGATTATGCTGGTCTGGCGGGGTACCTAGATGCAGAACATCCCACCCCAATTAATTAAAAGCTGCTGATTCCTCAGAATCATGAATTTTTGACGACCTGTTCTGTCCTTCATCATACTGTAACTGCCATTGCTCCTGGCATTCCGCCATTGTTGTCGTGCCACTATGTCGTTCTTGATTAGTTGCAACAACTAGTTCATTGGTGCGCTCGCAGTGTTTGTACAGAGGTCTTTGTCAACCCTATGAGGGTTTTCTCAAAATAGTCTTCAGAATCCTTAGTAATCGCCCCCACAATTATGTAATCCCTATGTATCCATTAGGGTTTTCCCTAGGGAGCCCACCATTTTGAGTAACTTTCATGACAGGAGGTCAAAGCTGACGATGGCGCAGATGTTCGGTCCACAAGTTGGTGACTCTTTGGGACTTAGACGGGGCCTCCAGGGCTAATATAATTCAAGGGTCCAAAAGGAGGGGCCCCTGGAAGGGACCCCTAATCCCATGACCCCACGGAACCCATGAAGTGCTGATATGCGTCAGCATTCACGCCTCCCCCCCAACCCATGCAGAACTCTTCTGCTAAAAATGGTCGTTTGCCAAAATAAGTCTAAAGCCACAACCCTCTTCCAGCAAAGAGCCTTAGGTACTCTCACTATCGCCACACCGTCTTCACGTTTCTGCGCTGCTGCATGCTCGATGACAGAGCCGCAGGAGATGAATCCAGCACATCATATGAGTTGTATTTTATTTGGGGATACTGTGGTACCCAATATAGAGTAAGATTATATCCTCCTTTTGGGCTATAGTATTTTATATAAGGAAAATTATCTTACTAGGTTTAACCACCAAAAAACATTACTCAAATGGCTGGAGGGACCATGCCAGGTACGTTATAGAGAGCATGCAGTAGTTTTATGTGGGTACTGGTCCTGTTAGGGTTTATTTATGGGTACTTTGAGTGGGATGTATCTGCCAAAAACATGAAGCCTTTCCCATTGATGACTATATCCTTCCTGGGCTAACGTGCTAAGCGCCAGACCCCTAAGCACTGCACACCAAGCACCATGCAATGCCAAGTCCTGAAGGAGTGAACCTCCTTGGAATTCAGCCCAGCGCCGATAGCAAGTGGACGTGCAAAGAGTGGCCAGCAATTCAAGAAGATGTGCAGCTGCCTCAGTGTCAGCCAGTTATGAGTTACCAGCCACCGATAAATCATGCTACCCCAAACGCATTTGAGACCGAAGGCAGTCTTCCATGGGGTGGGGACTTGTGCGGGGGACCCATTGAGAAGTGGTCAAGGGCTCATCCTTGAATTCTTCCATGTGAGCTATAATAGTCCAAACTCCTAGTATCCCCTTTAATAACCCCTGCAATACTCCCGTATATAATCCATTTAATGGCCCCCTTTTAAGGAGTTTAGACCATGTATAGGTCATGGATATATACATAGATTATTGATTTCGAGATGCAGGCCCAGACATTTGCCAGTTTCTCAAAACGGTCCCTGAGAGGTATTTCCATTTTGCGAAAGCCCTTGTCTTCCTCAGAAGAAGAAAGCTTTCAAGAAAGAGCAGGGGAATTCCGGCAATGGAAAGAAGCGTGACGTCTAAGGTCCTGGAAACTAGGTTCAGAGGAATACTAAGCTCGGCTTTTTTCCGGTACTTGCATCCTCGTCACCATCATTGTGTTTTGCGATTACTTTTGTGACTCCAGCATTTGCCCGCCTTTTTTTCTCAACTAGGCACACCTACCACGAGAAAAAGAAGATGCCTTTCTTCAACTGCCGTGGCGATCTGCAGATTAAGTTTGAGAGTGTGGTGGCAAAGCGAGTTGTCGCAGAGAATTTGCGTGGCTGGGACGACTTGTTACAGACAATTATCCATGCAAACCTTTTTTTGGGTTGAACATCAGATGGCTACAAGAGCAATGGGCTTGTTCGGCTGGATTTGTCGCTCTTTTTGCTTTGCAGTGGGTGTAGACGCCCCCTTAAGTCTCCTGGTGATTACCGTTCACACCATCACGCATTGTTTTCCTAGCCTCGGCTCTTGTGGTCTAACTTCCAGGAATAATTGAGAAGGGCGTTCAGTTCAGCATCATCGGTTGAACACAAGCTTAAATCCATCCAACCTTATCAATATCGGATACATGCCCAGCATGCGCGGAGGAACTGCAGGGAGCTTGAGGGGTCATACACATTGTACATTTTTGGGGGACACTGGAGTGAGCTAATGTACTATAACCTCTTAATAATTTCATTGTCGCCTATAAGAAGCCCATTTATTAGTACCTAACCCGTTAGTATGTGGGAACATCCTTGAATCTTATGATGATACGGGTCCCATTAGTGGGGTTCCGATTACACGGGACCTTATAAAAATTGCCTCGATTTGGGGATCTGTAACTTGGCCAAGTCCCACATTCCAGTGATTTACTGCACTGATAGCCAAACCCTAAACCCTAAACCGCCTCACCTCGATGGATTGTACTTGGGGCTTGGCCTAAATTCAACTACTGTTCCCAAAATCGGTCGAATTGTTGGGACCCGTATTGTAATTGGGAACCCCGCTGTAGGGACCCGTATAAAAACGAAGTCAGTAAATCCCCACATCGCAATGTTTTGCAATGGATCAAAATCCTTGTTCCCAAATCGTCGCAATGGACACGAAATTCACTTCTCAACTGATATGCAATGCTCCTCAATATGGCTTTGGGTATAATACAATAAGATGCCCAAATGCCACATAAAATGCTCATATGCCACATATTTTGCTGCTTTAGGGTGACTATATCCCTAGGCCCTAAACCCTGAACTCTATATTCTATCTACTTACGCGGGACTATGACTGAAATGCTGGCAGCCTTTGGGATTCTTTCCTGGCCTTTGAATAGCTAGGAATGAAGGAATGGAGGGTTCAGGGTTCAGGGTTTAGGGTTTAGGGTTCCTTATCCCATTATAGTAGTTTCCATTTTCTTTTCCATTCCTCCATTACCATCTAACCAAATGCCAGTTTTGGGATGTTCTCAGACCTGAGGAGAGCAGCTGGAATTCTACACGCGCAATCGTTGGTTCGCAGTGACTTGGATGTGGCACAGCTTGTACCAAGTTTGTTAAGGGATCGCTTCGAGTTTCAGCAAGCATGATGATAGCCTTGGCGGGTGAGGAACGCCATCCTTAGAGGGATTGCCAGAAGTCAAAAAGTAAACGAGGTCCCACGTGCAGGGCATGAATGGGATCTGAAGCTTGCTTTAATGCCTTTACAAAAAATGAACAAGATCCCACGTGCAGGGCATGAACTGATCTGAAGCTTGCTTTAATGTCTTTACACCCTTAAAAAAAAAAACAGCTCGAGGAAAGAGAAGTCCGTCGGAGCGCTGGAAGCCAAACTTTGTGACAACCTCCAACAATCTACAAGAACACTGTGAACGCTTGAACCCTGACACTTACTCAGAATGTTGTAGCCTTCAAAAAAGGGAGACCTCAATTTCGATCCCAAAATACCATAATCCTTCAGCTAGGGATCCCCAAAAACATGCTCCCATGTAGGGAGGGACGCCAGATTCGGGATGCTGGTAACCTAGGCTCTTCTCCTTACTGCATGTTGGTAGGAAATACGGAGAAACAACCCCTATATACTATATTCCCTTATTCCCTACTAGCCCTCCTTAACCCCAAGCTGCCATGTCTTCCCCTATTCCCTACTAACCGTTACTAACCCCCGGTTACTTTCACTCTTGTTTCGAATCAGGTGATTGCTTCGGCCAGTGAGAACCATCACAATCACGCCCTGCAGGTGGTTCAGGACGGAGGAATTACCTGGGTTTCTATTAAGGAATTCAAAGTAAGTTACCGAATAATGGGTATATCGCAAGTAATGGAGCTTTTTTTAGTAGCTGAAATGTAAGTTCCTTAAAAGCAGCAAGCCCCATTTAGTGCAATGAATGTTCAGAACATTCTTTGGATTGTTTTGGGTAGCATTGCGAATATGAGGTAGAAATACCCCTCCCTGGAAACAGATGGTTGGGTGAGGGCGGGGAGGGTACTTGCCGTGGCACTTGATAATATATAACCCCAATATACACCCCAAATATACCCTATAAGACCTATAGTTTCCATTTTCTTTTCCGTCATAGCCCTATATTATACCCTATACGAAGAAATCGTTCAACAAAATGCACCTTTTGCAGGCAGTGTGTGGGGGCACCACCTCAAAGACCAGTAGCAGACAACGGAAAACCGCTGTCGTCACCTAACTCTAAATATGAGTATGTCTTTTGGGGTTATACTGGGGTTATATTGGGTTTATAGGTTATATTGGGATTACAGTTTCACTGCAAAGAATGGAAGTCGACGGCTGAGTAAGAGCCCATGGCGTCATGTCAGAGTGGTCTTCCACACCTTAAGAAGGCACACTTCATGAAAGAGGTTCGAGCCTATTGTCTCCTTTCCGCCCCAAGCAGTGGGTGCTATGGAAAATGACTTGGAACACGGGTTATACAGGGGTATTACAGGAGTGCAGTTTCGTGTATTTGTTTACTAGAGGGTTTGTTTTGCTTTTCTTTCCGATGATTACCAGGCTTGTTCTGCTAGAAGGCAGTGTGGCAGTGGAAGAGAGAAGCCCTAAACCCTAAACCGCGTGCTGGTTTTTGCCAGCGCGGGCTCTTTTGATTTTGCCCTGGTGAGCAGTCCTTGCTTATGACTTTGGTGGACTGCCCCCCGACCCTGTAATAGTAATTATAAGGGATAATAGTAACCATATTAGGGTCCTCTTATATTCCTACTATACCACTGTTGCGGGGTGACGGGTCATCCTCTGATTCTCATTAAGCATCTACCAGAACTTTCCTTCCAATGATATTTCACATTTCTGCTGGTCCACAGCTTGATAGACCTACCTCTTGTAGAAGATTGTACAGGAAGTGCTTTGAACGCAACGGTGTTTGCCCTAGACGACCTCACCAGTGAGTCGATCTTGGTTTCTACATGAGCTGAGACATTCGCCATGTTCAGAAAATTTAGTTTGGATGCGTGCTTTGGTAGGAGTATCATCCTCCCATAGATTTGTTAAGCATACTATACTTGGTAACAGTTGAATAATTCATTTGGTGTATGTATTGACAGCCCTTTAGATTATCCTTACTATAGCCTGTGACTATGTGTTAAGGCCCTTGCATTATTTGCATCAGCTGCAGGAGTTCAATGCTGCACCGCCTCCCTCCCATGGCCAGGCTGGCCTTTCTCTGAAATCAATTCTGTACAGACAAGAAAGATGACGAGCAGGACGGTACTTGGTTACCTGCCTGTAGTTTCCCATGCCACTGCCGTTGGTCGCACAGAGACCAGGAAAGATCCCTCGAGATGTGCTCGTAGTATAATGCGCTTTCATTGCGTAGAGTTTGGACTCTCCTAGTCTTGGTACAATTGCTGCGTATGTCATTCGATTTGACTTTGAAGTACCTACCGCTACATCTGGCTGGGGTGCTGCTTCAGCTGTATTCGGCATGCAGTATACAGGCCCAAGCCCTAAAACCGCCGTGCCACGCACCCCACACATCCAAAATCCTGCCTTGACCGCCGACGCCAAAACTTGCAACCCTGAAGCCCTCCGGTCCCGAAAACTGTGAGAACACATCCAGGCTTGTGGTTAAGAAACTTAAATAAAGTTACTGGAATTTTGGGTATATAGCGCATGATATGATGATACGGTTTCCTTATAATGGTAACTTAGCATAAGCTCATGAAGAGCAACTCAGTATATCCAAAGGCGAAAGGCGCGATAGCAAAACAAACCTAATCTGCCACGGGCCAGGTCCGTATTGCCTGGGCCACAAAGAACCTGGGCAATCTTGCAAAGTCCATATGAGAGTTTCCCAGAACTAGGGGTACCATACTGGGGTCCCCAGGACAAGGATTATAGTATTTGGGGGTTTACATTGGGGTCCCCCTACTTTGGGAACCTACCATATGGCTTTCACATGTTTTATGTTGAAAAAGGTGCATCCAATCAGGATTTTGCAGGGATTGTACGTGTTGTTGGTGGTTCTGTTGGTAGTTGGATAATTGGGGTACGTAGTTGTGCTAGTTGGATAAGTACTGCTGCTATGCGGATCGCAATGGAAAGAAAATCCTCCAAACAGATACCCTAAACCCGAAGACAGTCAAGGAACGATGTATATGCTGATCCGACCTGGTGCGATCACTGCCTGAAAGGGCTGCAGAAATACTGGCGACAACTGCGTCGCAGCATGCGCTTATGCTGAGCAGATGCTAGCTTGCTGTTGATGAACTTAAACTAAGTTACCGCAATAGGGGTATATAGTCAAGAATACGGCTTCCTTATTACAGTAAGTTATTTTGAGTTCGTTAACAGCAACCCAGGATGAGCCAGGCAGGCCGACATAGGCGACGCAAGTTTCACGCTCTTGTTTTCGAGCCCACGCGCATGACCCGCCCTCAATGAGAGCTGGGGCCGTGCATGTGGGACCTTTGGAGCTGTCATGTGTCATGCTGAATTTCTTAATGAATCAGGCTGGGCTTCTACAGAGGAATGCTACAACAACTTGCTTGCATTATGCCAACCGGACGTTGAACAATGCTCCTTCATACTACTGCCCAAGCCACTGCCATTGCGCCATGTTTCCTAGGCATGTACTTGAAAGAGTGGAAGTCATGATAGCGCTGGGCATTCAACAATGCGCAACGGCGGAGCTTGGAACCTTCACGGGTCCTGATTCCTTATGGTCCGGACAGTTCTAGGAATCGGCCCGCATGTTGATGCTTTTGCATCTTCTGACACTTGTGAGCATGTTCTCAACTCCTTGATGCTCAGCAACATGTGTACAAATGATCTAGCACCTGATGATAGATCACACCGTGATGCTGTTGCTAACTTGAAAGAAATGAACGAAACAGCTGCCATTTTCGCAGTGGACGCGCTTGCAGTTCCTGATACCTGCAAGGGTGGGCAGTTAGGCTTTCAGTAAATATTTGGCTCCAATATACTATATAGTAGCTTCCATATAATTTTCCATTATCCCTATGTAACCCCAATATAACCCAATATAGTAGCTTCCATTTCTTTTTCCATTATCCCTATATAACCACCCTAAACACTAAACCCAATGTATTGTAGCTTGCATTTTCGTTTCCATTATTGCAAGGTACCGCAGTAGAAACTTAGGAAATCCTCACTTCTGCGGATCGGCCAAGGCTTTGAACTTTCGTGAAGCTTCAGGGATAGGTTTGAGGGTTGAGGTTTTTAAGGCTTTAGGGTTGAGGGTTTGGGGTTTACCGTAGGGGTTGAAGGGTTTAGGAGTGGGGGGGGGCATAGTCACGACCACTCTAAGCGCGGAAACTGCTTAAAGGGGGGTATATAGGGGTTTATATGGGGTTATTAAGGGGGATACTAGGAGTTTAGACTAGCTCATATGTGATGATTTTTGCGGGGAAGTGTTGTTTCCGCTTGGCAATGTTTGCATGATACAGGGAAATATAGCAACTCGATTCCATAATACCTTATCGGATAGGATTTTGTGATATAGTCTTTGTGTAATGTAGGAAAATGTAATGCAATATGATGTAATACAAGGTGGCATCGTCTACGATAAAGTAATGTAACGTGATGTCATGTAACATCATGTTATATAAGATATCATGCGTGCTCCGGAGCAATATGGAACTATCTCGTTGCGATCTGCGTCCTGTTGTTTCTTGGCTCTGAAGGCTATCACCACCCTCAACCCTAAACCTTAATTTGGCCATGTAGTCATATCCAGCGGCATGGATGCCTTCCACGAGTGCCTGGAGGTGTGGGTGGGCTGAGTAGCTCGAAGCTTTGGCGGATGTCTCCAAGACTGTTTCTGGGTTGCTGCTAAGGAAGTTTAATTAAGTAACCATAATGGGTATATTTAGTAAATGAAAGGGTTTCTCAGATATGGTAACTTAAAGTAAGCTCCTTCATAGCAACCCAGAAGATTGTTTGTGTAAGGTTTCAGGAGACTTTGTCATTTGTGCAGAGGGGCCTCCAAAGGAATTGGCAGAATTGGGGACATTCTCTTGAAAGGTCACTTCCAAAGGTTAAGGTACGTGTCTTGGCCCCTTTCGATCCTCATTGCTGTGGACATTCCATCTGACTTTTGAGGTCAGTAATGGAAGTCGAAGTCGGAAACTATTCAGTGCTTTGTTGTGGAGTGCACGTGTGCATGTGAGTTATTGCTTGTCAGTAGCAGGCTACGATGCATCTGCAGCAGCCAAGAGTTCTGCATCCAAGTCTCCCCATAGCTCTTAACTAACATGGGGCTCGGCACTTCTGCCATGGAGAGCCGACAGGCCGCACCTGTGGCTTGCCGGTTGTTAGTAGGATCTGAAGGAAGGGAAAACACATCGAAACTACTAGATGATTTTGGACGATATGGTAGGCTATAGGGATCCATTCCTCCATTCCTACCCCTGAACCCTGAACCCCCATATGATCGAATTATGGCAGTTTTCCGTTTCTCTGCTGGTTCTCCATTCCCTCCTTTTAGGAACCAGTAAGGTGACGAGGGAAGCAGGTCCCATGATCTTGATCGAAGGCCTGGACCTTGCCGGTAAGTCCACGCTTTTCGCGCGGATTCAAGACTCTAGGTGGTGAGCAGTAGCTTCTATGAGGATATTGTAGTCCCCAATCATATTACAGAGTGAAATTATGTCTTCTTGTTGGGCATTGTATTTTACAATAAGAAGAGAATCTTCAATAGTTCAACCATCAAAGCTGATAGCAGCCAGGAATCTGAATGCTGCTGCCCGTCGGATTAAGAACACCTCGCCTGCCAGCTTCCCCACCCTACCTCAGGCTCAGGGTGCAGGGGGAAGAGGCTTCCGCAGTGGGCCTCCAGGTCTCTTCAGGGAATGAAGAAACGGAAAAGACATGGAGATTTAGTTTTATTGCCAATAAAACCAATTTATTCGGGGTTATGTAAGGGCTCCTATGAGGACCCATTCCTTCATTCTTTGCTAACCACGGGTAAGTCTTGGGCTTGCAGGGGCTGTCAGAAAACTTTTCCACAAAAGGCTCCAGGGAATCCTCCAGAAGGGCCAGCGCATTCCAGAGCCTGCGCAACAATCGCGAACGCATGCAGACGCTAGCGAGTGCTGAGATAACGAAGTCGTGTCAACTCCGTGACCCCAGACCCCACACCTTCTAACGAGAGCCCTTTTGCCACGCATTTGGTAAAGAACGTTACTTGAGTGGCAATTTGGGAGAATCATGAATTTCCCTTCTTGCTTCTACAGGGGGGCTCATTTTTAGCGCCCTCAAACTTCCTAAACGCTAAACTGTAAACCCTAAACCCTAAGCTGTAAACCTTTAACCCTCAATTGTACAGTACCACCCAGGACACGCTGGAGGGCAGCTGGAAGCTGCGTTGGTCCAGGAATCTGGGTTTCTGGAAAGGAAAATAATTTCAATTACCAGGAAGTGTTCCCTTCAAAGGGTCATAGGGGTTTTCTAGGATTTGACATTAAGTTGCAATAATGTGGGCGTTCATACATATATTTGTAGATAACCAGATAATCCGGATTTCTTTCTCAAAGTGACTTACCTTAATTCCTTGACAGCAGCCAAGAAACTGCCTGGTGCCGGAGAACCCCATCAATGAGAGGGCGCAGGAGCTGCGCAAGTTGAAGCAGCCAGGCTCGGGGATTTCCCCCCTGGAGACGGGCTCGCTCTTCCTAGCCTCTCACATGTGCCTAGAGATGATAGTGGAAGCAAGTTATGCACTTTCTATGCAGTCTTAACACGTATGAAACGGAAAAGCGAATTTCGTTTGAAAGGTTTTAACGCGCTTCATGTCTCTAATCTTGAGCCGTAATCTCACCCCAAAATCAGGTGGGACCTTTGCAACTTCCAGCCGCCTGAAGCAGACACTGTGCATTTGCAAGACAGCAGTTGGCTCCGGACAGTTGCATACCACTCGGAAGCGTTCACGCCGACGCCTTTTGTGCAGGAGCAGGGTTTAGGTTTGCATTTCCAATGCCGTGAATGTCACTTTCATGGTGTTATCGTGATTCCCCAATGCTTTTGGCTTGGGGTTCAATATGCTTGAAGAAAGGAATTCCCTTTCGTGCCCTCACCACGGATCTCCAGTTTTGCACGGTTTTTTTGGTGGTCCGTGCTGTGAATATCTGTCCTTTTGGTGGGGCCTGTCTTGTAAGTGTTTCGTGGTTGTCCAGCTCCGCGTGTCCTAAAGATTGTCCAGGTGCAGAACCCCAACAAGTTCACGTGTTGAGGCAAAACTGTACATGTCATATTACTTGCATCATCGGATACCGCACCGTTTTTGATTGCCCTAGGTATTTGAAACTCCACAGTGGCACATCCGGCCAAGCACTATCATTTACAAGATTTTCGGAAGGTTTTGGATTCGTTGGCAGGGTTGCGACAAGTTTGGCATGGGTTTTGGTGAGTTTGGGCCCTAAATTTCCACTGCGGTGGGGTGGTGGATGGGCGGGCAAGCGGGAATTCCCACTTTCCGTCACTTTTTGGGATTCGATTTGGGATGGTGAGTATTGGGGTGGTTTTCTGGGGCAAGGGGTGGGTTTGGTGAGGCATGACATCGGTGCGCAGGCAGGATCCCGACATGTGTCCTGATCACCGGTCAGCGTCCTGGTGTGCATTCTGGTCCTTATTCTGGTCCATCAGCTGATTGAAGCCTACTGCAGTTTGCCGTGCCGTAGTCTCCTTCGTGTTTTTCTTTGTTAAAATGGAACTGTTACAATGATACCTTCATTACGGGTGTCGAGTCTTGAGGGATTCCAGATTGGGGTACATGAGTTGAATTCATCATTAACATTCTTCGTATCATGAAGACTGCAACTGCTGCTGCTGCCGCCGCTGAAGGAGGGGCTCCCGTGGACCTTGGGCAGCTTTGGCGACCTTGCTGCACAGGTCATGGGCGAGGATGGGTGCGCAAAAATTGTTGTACAGGTTCCATTGTCATCAGGCTCAGTTCTGTCAATGCTGGGTGATCATAACTGATCACTGCGATAACTGAGGCTACCCTAAACCTTAAAAAACCCTGAACCCTGTGATCTTTGACCAGGAAAAGACCACGTCCGGGCCGGCCTTTGATGTGGTGATTTTCCTCACGGCCAGCGCCGAGGAGCGCCAGGGCCGCCTAGACGAACGCCGCCAGAAGAACCCGGAGGACCTTGATGGAAGGGTTTTTTGGGTCTGGGGTTTGGGGTTTTAAGGTTTGGGGTTTAGGGTTTGGGGTTTGGGGTTTAGGGGTTTGAGCATAGGATTTTGGGTCAAGGGTTGCAAGTTTAGGGTAAGGTCTGAGCAGGGTCCTATGGAAATGTAGTATACAGAGGATGTCATGCAGGTGTTCTGTGTTTTGTGTTGGGCTTTCTGAGAATGTATATGGGACGCAGAGAGGATTTACAAAGGTGCGTGACTTTGTACCGTTCGTGAGGATTCACACATTTGGGGGGGGGCTATCTAGAAAGACCTGGCAAATGTCGGAAAGCTTCGTCATGGAGACCACGCCTTATTGCATGAGCAAAGCATAGCACTCAGAAAAGTCGCGGAAACCATGTGAGGATTGCGACTATGATGATGCATTGGTGATTCGCGATCCGGCCAAGTTCATGAAACTGGACAGCCTGCTGTGGGAGGTGACCTTGCGCCGATTCCCGCATGCTCGCAAGATTGACTCCACAGGAAAAAGCCGCGACCAGGCATCTGGGCCGAAAATCAACATAAGCCCCGTTCAGCCCTGATAGTTGTTCTATTCCGTGAGTCATTTCGTGCCGCAGGTGTTTCAAGAAGCTTCAGCGACGATCTCGTCATGTGTTTCGGGCCCCTTGAAGGTGGCTTTTGAGGCTGTTGTTCCATGAATGCCCATCGACCGGGGCAAAAGGCTTCAAGGCCAGTTTGGCAGCATGGCAACAGGCCCTTTGGAATGATCTCGGCAAGACTGCTGCAGGACCGAGCTTGAAAAAGGAATTTTGGATTGTTCCGCAGACCCTGCCCTTGCCACTGTGCCATGGACAAGCTAACATCAAGCCTGTTTGGGAATCGGAGCTGTCCATGAGGTGGCTTGCTTGAATTAAGTTACCTGCAATATGTCACACTGTCATCCTTGTGCAGGCCTGCAATTGAACCGGATGTCCTTGTGTTCAACGACGCTGTTGGTCGTGGACCCAGAAGTTTCAGCAGAGAGCTGCCGGGTTCTGCTGGTTGCCATATCACATTGACGGCAGCATGCATCGCCAACTCGATCCAGGGCTCAAAAAAGTTGCTTGTTGCAATAGGATCACACGTCGTGTGTAGAAGTGTGCGCATGGCAACCGGCGGCGGGGTTATCAGTGCTTTGGCACAGGGTTTCCTGGATGGTGGCGCTGAGTTTGCCGTCCACTATCCAGGATGGCACAGCCACGAAATCTATGACGAGCTGGTGATGGGAAGTCTCAAGCGAAAGGCACTGCTGGTCAAGATGGGCATGGCGCTCAATGAGAAAGTGGCCTATCAGCTGGCGTTCGGTGCGTCGTTGTCAGGCAGTCGAAGCGTCGTGATCATGAAGAACTACGGCTTCTGGGATCTCGAATCTCTAGTAACGCACATTTACTTTTTAGTAGGTCCGTCTAGGGCAACCAAGACATTCCCGACTAGTCCTTGAGTGCTTGGTGAGTACCCAGGCCTCAATGTAGCCGCTGATCCATTCCTGAACTCACACCTCACTGGTGTGAATGCTGGGCTGGTGTTGGTGGTCACTGACGACATGGATGTGGAAGGCTCTCAAGGCTGCCAAGACTCACGGCTCCCGGGTCAGTTCCAAGTAAAGCCTTTCCTCTTGTTTTCTACAACTTTGGGTCAAAGTAGTCCGTTACTTCCTTCAAGAATTTGTTGCAAACCTGCCTTTCGGCAGAGCTTGCGAGACTGATCCAGGTTCTACAGAAACTTTCATGGAGGTCTTTGGCTTGAACCCACGTCGCTCAACCAGGCCTATGAGATGGCTCTTCGTTCCTTTCAATGGTCTGAAGAGGTGGACTTGCCCGTTGTGGTTCGTCTAACAAATGACCACTTCAAATGGAGAGGCTGGTGCGCAGAGCCTGCACAAGCTAGCGAAGCTACTGATCAGGTGCAGGGGAGCAAGAAGCTGAGCAAAATTGAGGCGAGCAAGTACGTGGTACACCCAAAGACCTGGAAGCCTCATCGGGATAGGCTTGAGGCCAAGCTAAGGAGAGTTCAAGATCTTGTGGACGGATGGCTGAAAATTGATCCTTCAGTGCTTGCAGGTGGCAAGCGACTTCGCGTACAGGTTGGCGCCTGCCAAGGCACCCCTGCAGACGCGGAAGACGAGGAGATCTTGAAAGTGGCAACAGTGTCAACATATCCACTTCCATCCCAGCTGATGGCCTCAGTATCGAGCTTCCATGAGGTGGAAGTCGAGGAGAGTGGTGCGCCTTACGCTCTCAATTTGCTACAGGCAGGTCAGGCAGGCCTTGGCACCGTGCAAATCCGCAAGGTCCTTCGGTCAGAGCCAGATCACTCGGACAGAGTTATCGTCTGGGATGGGCTGGAAAAGCTTTTCAGCGCCCTGGCCACGATTCAGCCTCGTCATGTGGTTGCAGACTTGGGCCAATCGACTCAGGAAAGCAAGGGTGTTGTGACCTCCTGCCTTTGCCTCGGAAGCGCCGTAGCGGTTGCCTGGGGAGTAGCCTTTGGCAGCGCAGGCAGAGACTATCCGTTCTGCATCTCGGGTGATGCCTCACTGCTGCATGGTGGTGGACGCTCACTTTTGGATGACGCAGTCTCCTGCGCAGAATCTCAGTCCATTGGGCTGTGCATTGTAGTTATCGACAACGGCGGCTCTGCATCAACCGGTGGGCAGATGGTGTCCTCCTGTCTACATGCGCACCTGCCCAGCTTTGCAGAGAGCGTGCTCTATGCTGACACAAGTGAGGGGGAGTTCTTGGCATTGTTCAGGCGGTGTGCGAGTGAGCGGCGCTTTGCGCTAATCCACTTGCAAGTTTGAGGGCTGCTGTGACTGCCAGCAAGGCATCCAATGCCAAAGCAGATTCTCAGCACGCCCAAGGCGAAACTGCTTACAAAGTGTTGCAGGACGAGACGACCTTCATGATCCGTCAGTTCTTTTTTTTAGCCACAGCGTGGCTACTGTGTCTTCTGTTACACGTAGGCCAGACTCTTGCAGGACCCTGCGGTTTGCACAAAATGCAAAGTGTGAAGGTGCTGGAAGCTATTCATGATCTGAAAAAACACCATGCGGAAACACACATTTCGCCACGCGCTAACCATCATTACCTGCCATGTCATGTTCGCAAAGCCTGGGCAAGGAGGCAAAGAAGGCAAAATATCAGTGAGTCAGCCGGAGACATGGTGATACGCATCTGATACGCCTCTTGTTATTGCGGGTATTCTCACCTTATCAAGTTTTCAACAGTGTGCATTTGTAGTCTTATTCGGCATACATCAGTGACCACCCCCACATTCAATCCAGTTACGGTGTCTCAGGACTCCATTTCAAGAACCACTCTATGGATGCCTACCCTGCAGTAAACCACTCTTTGTTGGCCCACCTTGACCGCTTCGTAGAATTGTGTACCGGATCAGAGCCTGTGTTGCCGCATTTACTCCAACCATCTTGGCCGCCCGAGAGTTATTTGCTGCGAGGACAGTGCTATCAGCAACTGCCCCTGGGCCATTCAGTCGCGATGCAGGATGGCAAAGCCAATTGCCCTTGACCTCGTTCAAATATGGCGTTACGAGTTTCGCCTGCAGCAACCGCACTTGAAAGCAATGCTCGGCACGCTAGGCGTTCCTGCCTCGTCCTAGAGCCTTTTCCTCTATGCCTTTACTAATTATTACAAAACTACCCCGCCCTGCCGATACCCGCTCGGCTCTCTCACCGCGCTAATGTTCTTGACTTCGGTCCGTCCTACCCTGCAGTAAAACCATGGGTCATGCAGATGCAATACAAAGTCGTGGGTCCTTTAGAAGCTTTCAGCACTTGGGATAACCAATAGCAAAAGCATTCATTGAACAGCTGTGATCCTCCATTGGATCCTCTGTAGGTGAGTTGCTGGCAAGAGATGGCCTTTCGCATGAAAATGCTATAGCCTCGGGCTTGAGCCATATTCATTTTCATATTCTCATTCCCCTAGCAACGTAAGCACGATGTACGCACACATATGTATATATATCATATATATATATATATTCAAACTGCAGACATGCTCTAGACTCAGACAGCAAGCACATCTTGTTCATTCTGGTAACAGCACTTATAGAACAAGTGAGAAGAAGAATGATTCTTGCGCCGCATTTTTGATTCCCCAAGTTTCAAATCCGCTTCAGCCAGCCATGTCCAAAGTGACTCAGATGAACCATGCTGGACCCTCCATCCTCATTGAGGGCCTTGGGCACAGTGGGAAGTCCACTCTCATTTCTCAGATCCAGGAGAACTGAGTGCAAGGCTTTTTTGTTTGAGATGTTTGCTTGTTCTATGAAAGATCCCTAAACCCTGAACCCTCCGGGCTCTTTCTTCCGGATCGCTGCTCAGGAGGCCTTGAGTAGCTTGAATTGGAACGTCCGCTTGTGTCAGAACTGCACGGTGGATGGCAACCCCATCCATGCAGACCGCCAAGGGAAGGCAGCACTTGAAATAGGGCTCTTGCGAATATGTAGTGTTCCTCAGGAAGATCTGGTGAGTGTGTAGTTTGGGTGACCATGAATCAAGTTCCTACCATTTATGTGAAAGAGTACTGGTGGCAGTGATCGTCGAAATGGTGGCTGTCACGGTACTCTTGGTGAGAACCGCCTGGAGAAATAGTCAAAAATGTTCCAGCAATCGTGGCAGTAAACGTCATGAGCATTGTTGTTGCCACGAGTACAGTCATACGCACAGCAGGAAGATCCCACTAGGCAGCCCGTAGACTTGGCAGTAAGAAATACGGATGATGCCATTTTTGAAGTTTGCAAATGGGAGCCACTGCCAAAGAGAAAGATTCCTCTTTCTGCTTGCTGCCAGGGAATGGACGGATGGATCCGTACAGTAGCCCCTATGTAATCCCAACAATACACAGAAGTTTTCATTTCTTTGTCCATTGCTTCCTGCCTTACGTCATCAACCAGCAAGTCTCATCCAGGCGGGAGCACTGACTATCTTGGCAGCTCACCTTTGGGATGTTTGTCACTTCCAGCCTCCTCCTGCAGACACAGTGCCGGGATCATTGAAAGTAAAGCTTTTTACATTCTTAAGGGGTACGTAATCCTTTGACCGTGTAGAGTATAGCTTCATGAGGGTGAGCACAACCATCCCGCATTCTTGCCCCACTCATTCACCAAGGAAGCTATGAACCCCATTCTGAAACCCAAACCCCACACCATAAGCTCCTAAACCCTACAGGAATGAACCCCCTAATATTCAAGCCGAGCTAACTGGCCAAGGTGCACCTTCAAGAGGGCAGCTGGTTGAGGGCACTTGCCAACGCTACCCTTGGTCTCGAAGACGATTTCAATCACGTGGCGCGCATGGCGGAGGCCCTGTCGGGAACTTGAAGTGCATGAAAGCAGCAACAGCAGCAACAGTGCCTACTGCGGTAAGGTACAAGATTGACAGCAGCAGCAGCACTTGCATTCCGGTATGGGCAGTGTGAGAAGTCTAGACGGTAGTTCATTTACACAAGGAGGCCACTTCCGTCCAGTTCGATGTGGCAATCTTCCTAAGCGCCAGCGCAGACGAGCGGCGTAGGCGCCAGGGCTTTCGCAGTCGTGAGGACCGAGGCGAACGAAGTCTTAGGTTGAGGGGTCAAGATTTGTTGGGTTGTGGATGAGGTCTGGTCTTGCTGCTGCTAGGCCTGTGTTTTTTGGGTACAACTATCTCTGTCAGTAAGATTGACCCTTCCAGGGGTAGTGTGCTTCGTTGCAAGACTTGGCAGAATACGCTTGAGGAAGCGGAGCTTGCAGGGTGTGAAGATGAGGGGCGCGGCCGCCTCGTGCTGCAGGAGCCGTCGTCCGTGGCCACACGAAGAAGTCTGGTGTTGTCTTATAGTTTTTGGGGAGCGCATACAGGTTTTCTAGGAGTACTGGTGATTGTAGATATTTAGTGTCCAGTTGGGGAGACTTTGGATTCAAACCATGCAGTTACTAATTCTTCTATGGTCTACCATGGGCCGCTGACACCCGTTCGGCTGTCTCACCTCAACAATGACTATGACTTTTGCCCATCCTACTTTCGAAGCAAACCACGGGCCACATGATTGTAAAATGCAGGCCGTGCGTGTGCATGTAGATGCATATTGCAAACAATTTTGTAATCACCTCCTCTAATGTTAAACCCACCAGCCCCACCCATATCAAATATTCCCATCATGGTGTGCTACAATATACTTGGGAATATTGAATACTAGCAGGGACTTTAATACTAGGGGAGGAGATTACTTGACAACCCTAAACCTTAAACCCTGACAGAGGCAGGAGCACTGCATTGTTGTTGCAGGAGACCAAGCGACGCTTCTCCCACGTTGTGGAGATCGACACAACAGGTACCCAGACCCCAGAAGGAGGTAAAATGATAGCCCAAAATCCCAAAGCATAGCCTGGAAGGCCATTCTTCTACATATGTTTGGGGTTTAGAGCATAATTTTGGGGTTCAGGTAGGCATGCCACAGCCAAGCCGGAGAATCCCAAAAAGCCGGACTGGTGATTTAGAAGGCCCATTGAAGCGTTTGGGGTTTAGGGCTTAGGGAAGACCACAGTACTTAGTCCTCTACCCACCTACTAGCTTGGAAATTTGTTTTGCTGTTCATTATAGTGTAACCCCTAGGAATGAGTTAAAGGTGCTAGTGTTATTATAGGCCTAGGGGGTTTACAGTATTACCATCCCCTATGATCCTTGCATCGCCCCCTACAAGAATACCAATATTCCCTTTGGTCTGAGTAGAAATCACACTTACAGAAAAAGAGCCACTGCTCAGGCAAGGACCCAAAGCAGGTCTTCTCTGAGGCTTTCGACGAGATTTCCCACAAGCTGTTCGAAGCTCGGAGAAGCTTCAAGGTACTTCTTCGGATGTTTGCCAACTTCCTATCGAAGAAGTTGTCTAGGATCATCGGTAGAACGCAGGCTGTGAGATTTCGATGGAATGTACTTCAAGAGTTTTCTTTGTAGGCGGTTTGAATTGTGTTATATCCCTAGGCTATGGCCCATACAACCCCAAGGTATCTTCTATAATCCCTTTAAAGGGATCCCCAAAGTATTGGGCCCAATCTCAGGGCTTCGGCCCTGTTGAATTGTGTTATATCCCTGTACACCCCCATATGAGCCATAGTCTAAACTCCTCAAAGGGAGGCTATGGGGGATTATATAGGGGACTATTATAGCGGATATTAAGGGGGAAGTTAGGCTATGGCCCATACAACCCCAAGGTATCTTCTATAATCCCTTTAAAGGGATCCCCAAAGTATTGGGCCCAATCTCAGGGCTTCTCCTTTCATGCGAAGCTGTGCTTTGCGTCCAACATGCTGCCGGTGGCTTCGGCTGCCAAAGGCAACGAAGTGCGAGTGACTTACTGGTGCTTCAGGGGGAGTGAATATAGGTGGTATATATGGGATTATATAGGGATTCTTGCAGGGATCCAATCCCCCACTGTCCCCAAACCTACATCCTAAACCCTAGACCCTAAACTCTACATCCTAAACCCTAAATCCTAAGCCCTAAACCCTATTATAGGGATCCACTCTCCCACTCTCCCTTAAGCACCCGTAAGGTGATGGTCGTGGGTGTAGGCCTTCATGCCCGGAACCTGGGGCCTTGTTACTGTAGTGTGGAACACATGGGCTTAGAGTTCAGGGTTAAGGGTCTAGGGCTTAGGGTTTAGGATTTTGAGTTTAGAGTTTAGGGTTTGGGGTTCAGGGTTTTGGGTTTGGGGTTGTAGGTTTTCATGGGGGGACTATGGCCCACCTTAGTATATGGCCACCCAAAATTATGGCTTGCACATTAGGGGGGCCATGGTACCCTCGCTACAAGCTTCCTCCTTTGTAATTGGCTCGGTAACCCATCAGTCCAGAATGGTGATTAGCTGGGGTCTCATTCATGGCCCAGGAAAGTCTACCTTCCGTCGCTTGGTGACAAGCTTGTGGTCGGTGTAGACCTCCACAGCCAACGCGAGTCCATTTCGGAAGCCCTTGCAGCAAAGTCCAGCTCATTATTCATGCATTACATTCACGAGTTCAGCTGTGATGACCGAGAGCTCCCGGCCAAGCTGGACTGTGAGTTGGCTGCGCTCGTTGAGGAGCAGCACATCAGCGCCGTGGTGATCAGCACGGATCCTCTCGTCCATCGCCCCTACTGCCTGTGGGCCCTGAAGCACGGACTGCACATCCTACTGGACAAGCCTATCAGCACCCGTCGGAATGCTGCGTGTGATCAGAAGGCAGCCCGTGGCATTTGGGATGACTTCGAAACAATTTGCACAGCATACTACAGGGCGCAGCTACAGCTGGGGAGACGATTGGTATTATCAGTCAACGTGCAACGCCGATACCATTTGGGCTTTTCCTACGTGCTGGACCGTATTGCTGAGGTGGCCGCAGAACACCAGCAGCCAGTGACTTTCATTCAATCGTTTCATTCTGACGGACAGCTTCGGCTTCCGACAGAGATGAAGACAATTTCATATCATGGCTTCAACCAAGGTCATTAGATCCTTGTGGAGTCAGACTTTCCCTTTCTTTGGGACAATTATCATTTTGATTTTCCCTTTGTGTTTCAGAAGGGAACCTACTCATAAGTTGATTCTTGCCCAGAAAAGCATCTTCATCCACCAGGTCATGGCAAGATCTCTCACAGTGGATACCATTTCCTGGACATCTTTATGGAGATCTACAGCAAGGCTGCGCAGCAGATCCGGGACCCCAACAAGGTGGCCACAAGGGCTGCGGTGTCCTGTACCTAGGTTTAGGGTAAAAGGCCTTTTGGGGTTTAGGGTTTAGGGCTGTTAAGGAGCTTGAACTACATAGCAATATGAGCAATTTGCATCGATGGCTATGTATCTGTGTTGTGGTCAAGCAATAGAAGTTCGCAGTAGGCATGACTCACCGCCATACAGTCCCAGTCCCAATGTCAACTTCCATGTGGTTTTCTGTTTTGGTTTTCCTGTATGGTACGTTAATCCAGCTTCTTGAGCTGCAACCCAGGTACAGGTGTGGGACCTGATGGGTTTGCACGGCTTCAGAGCGCGGAGGACTGGAAGCGCAAGTTTAGTGAGTATGACGTGGACGGGCATCAGGATCTCCTGAAACTCACCTCTAGTTAGCAAGGAATGAAGGATTGAATAAGGCATATTAGCTCTTAGATGCTCCATCCCCCAAATCCTAAACCCTAAAGGGTAGTTTCCATTTTCTTGTCCATTCCTTCATAAGGAATGAGTTCAGGGACGGAGACTTTGGTGAGATTGATGCCCACCTCCAAATTGCTCCTGGGCTGCTGTTAAGCAACTTGATTTCAGTTCCTATTTTGGGGAAACCATATTAACTACTCTGTATACCCATTATGGTAACTTAAGTTAAGTTCCTCGAACCCCTATATTCCCCCAGTTTCCATTTAATTTTCCATTTTCTCCATTTGATTCTCCATTACAGGGGGATAATACAGGAACCTAAACCCTAAACCCTCATTCTACACCCTATTATCCCCTATAGATATGTATATCTATATATAAATATACATATGTACCCATTATGGTACCTTAAGCCCTAAACCCCTAAACCCTATATACCCTATATTGTATACCCTATGTACCGTATATTATGTACGTTATATACCCTATATTATATACCTTATATTATATAGCTTGTATTATATACCTTTTCTTATATACCCTATATATATATATACAGCAACCGAGGCTCTTCAGGCCCAGGATGGGGCCGTGCTGGGACTGGGCAGCATTGGCCTGGTCCACAACGGATTCTCCCGCCGGTGTTGGCTTGAACCTGGGTTCTTGTTGGGTTTAGGGGTTTTGGGTTCAGGGTTTTAAGGTTTAGGGTTTAAGGTTTAGGGGTTAGGGTTTAGGGTTCTTGTTGCATAATGTAGACCCCTAATCTTAAGGCCCTTAAAAGGAGGGGGTTCGTTAAGCACAGGTCTACATTAACATGTTACATGTTTTCGTACACCTGGGCCCAGTATACATGGAAAAACGATGATTTCTATTGGTATTTCAACAAGAACCCAGGAACCCAATCTGAAAGATCTCTACAAGAAGAATGGCCGAGTCAAGCACGAGTGCCACATCATCGAGCAGGGTGACTTCCAGTGCATTCGCATTGATTCTTACCAGGCTTATGACAAGCACGATGGTCCACAGACTGCTGGAGCCTATGAGGATGGAGGAGACAGCCACTTCGATGTAAGTGTCTACCGCAACGTTGGGAGGTTTAAGGACCAAAGCCAGTCTTCTCACTGGAAGCTGTCTTATCCTGAGATTGATGCCCAACTGCGGAAGGAACCCAGCTGTGAAGTGTTCCGGCTGCCGTCCGAGGTGTCCAAAGACATGGTGGTCAATGAGTTTCTAGGACTCGTAGGAGGCCATGTTGCCCCGGAACAGGCGGTCTCTTCCATCGAGACGCATGCAAACGGAGTTCGGTTGATGAGCTCTGCTTATGAGTCTCTGGTTCATCACAAGTCTCGCAGGTGGGAGGAGCTCAAAACTTGGACTCATTGGGCTCCTCTTGATAAAGATCTTGGTGTTTACATGAGCAGTAGACGGTAGTCGGAATGAATTAGCTTCAAAGCAGAAAGCCTTGCGCTGCACATCCTTCCACAGGTGCGTGAACCCCGTTGTTTCCTTCGAGATGCACTTAGCAACTTGTCGGGAGCCATCACAGCTGAGAACCTTTGAGCACTCCTTGGCGCTTGTGTCGCACTCCTTCCCCATAGAATAAAGCGGGCTGGTAGGGGGAATGCCTCTGATTCTGCGGGAAGAAGGATGTGCATGATCGGTCCGTGGCAGACTGAGGCACAGCGAGGGAGACTTGGGCAAGCGCAATGGCAGGCCGGGGATCCACTCGTGCTTGGCATCACTAGCACCAGTAGTACTGACGGAATCCTTTCATGCGAGTATGAGACCCCCCAACCCCTAGAATCAAACATGTCCCCCAATATCCAAGGATTCTTGTGGGGGAATATTGAATATTAGGGGTGGCAGAGGTGTTGATATCCCAAAAGCCTTTATTGTTTGATATCCGCATTTCCAAGGGACCAGGGGGGTAGCATGGGGACTACCTAAATCTGTAGGGGTATGTAAGGACTATACAAGTGTGATATACCGTTTGGGCTTAGGGATCGCTTCTACATGCAGGATCATAAGATGAGCATGCTAAACCAAAAACCCTGAACATAAAACCTTGAACCTAAATCCTAAACCCTCAATTCCTAAACCCTAACCCCTAAATCCTAACCCTAAACTCTAAATATTAGTTTCTATTGTATTTTCCAATATCCTTCTTTAACCGCTATAACTCTATCTCCTAAACCCCAGCAGGATCCAGAAAGCGAGCCCTCAACGCCGTCCTCGCAGCTAGACAGCAGCGACGACTCCACGGCCTCCGACAGGTGCGGAGCGAGATGGGTTTAGGAATTTTGGGTTTAAGGGTTTAGGGTTTAGGGATTTCGGAGAACTGAGGGTTTAGGGTTTAGGTTTCGGCAGCTAACGGTTTGCTTGGGGACCTGCATGGCTTTGTGCGGTAGGCAAGAAATCTTGCACCCCGAATCTATTGTAATCCTTGGGGTCCTCCACGGACTACAATATACCATAATGTACTATAATGTACTGTAATATGTTACAGTATAAAGTGTCATCAAGCTTGGGCCTAGCTTCTGTTGGACCCCATCCCCACTGGCAGGATGGACGCGGAATGGCTGCCATAGCAGGACTCGTGCTGTGTGTACCAAACTTGATCATGCCAACTTATTGAAATCTGAAGGTGAGGTAGTGAGTGGAAAATGCATATGTTTTGGGGTTCTGCCATTTTCGGGTTCGTTTCCCCAGGGACCCCAGCACTTTCAGGTATCTGGTTTCACCTACATGCCAAATAAGGCAGGCGCAACGCCAAGCATAATGAAGACTCAATGGTAGTTAATTGGATGACATGCAATTTTCCCGAATGCGCGGCAGAAGGATTTGTGTTAGGTATTGCGAGCCAGCGAGCCAGTAGCATTGAACTACATGCGCGCCCTGCAGAAGCCCTTCTACAAAGCCTTGCCCAGCAAAACCTAAATTCACTCGCGCATGATGTCAACCAGACAGCTGCTGGATTGATAGGACGGAGCTCATCCTTGGTTGGGGCATGGCTGCAAGTATCTCGGCTGAGAGATTTGTGCTTTGTCAGTTTGGGATTATGTGACAAGGTTAGCTGAAGCGAGGTTGGGTCGCAAACATGTCCAACCTATCCCTGGTGTCCGTTGACTACGAGCTTGTAATTGATTTTCTTCTGACTCCACGATTAAAAGGATTGTAGAGCTGCTGTCATCATTTGTGCCACTAGCCATATGATCAATGCTGGGAACTGCGAGGTGCTGGTCCATCTTTTTGCCTTCACAAGCTCTGAAGTCTGTACAGACATGAAAAAACATGACTCAAGTGTACAGCCAATTTTGTTTTGTTGTGGTTTGGGGCTGCAACGGTCAAACCTCAGCCTCAATTTGTTGGAATCAAGCGCGCGATAGAACTAATGAAATCTGACTGTGGGCAAGACTGTGGCAAGCCTCGCACAGATGGAAAAAGGTGCGCTTGCATCTCTGGACGGTGCCAGTCGGACAAGGAAGCCCAAGTATGGAATTCTGAGTAGGGCTTCTATACTGCGAGATTTTTGCAATCATCAGTAATGCAAGCTTGATTAAGCAGCAGTTGGTTTTGGGGGGTGTTGCGTCGTGATGAGGTAGTTTCCATTTTCTTTTCCATTCTCCCTATACTACCCCTATATCTACCCTATTATATGAACTGTGTTCCATTTTCTTTTCCATTATTCCTAAATAACCCTGCAGTTTCATCGCACTTGGCGAAATCACAGCGGAGCCATGGCAGTGGTTGGTCTGCAGTCCCCTTCCGTGTTTTCACGGTCGGCTAAGCGACGTTGTGACGCATGTCATTCCGTGGTCTACACTAGCAGCTTCCATTTTCTTATCCTTTTCTTTTCCATTATCTCAATATAGCCCCAATATATACCCTTTTTAATATAGCTGGAGTCTCTTCCTTAGGGCCCAACGTCGTTGGGGCTCCTCACGCCGCTGCAATGCGGCAAACAGCTTTGCTGGTTTCTCCTCCCCGCACTTGTCGAAAACCGATGGGTTGCCTCTACGCTTGACAATATTCATTATATATTAATATACTATAACATACTATAATATATTAATATGCTATAATATACTATAATTTACCATAGTTTACTGCAGACGAGCGCCGCGTCGAATTTGTTTCCCCGCGGCAACCGCAGCCCGGAAGCCCTGCCCTGCTTGGCCGCAAAGGGGGGCACCCCTCGATGATCACAAAGGCAAGTCCCCCATCAGCCTGACAAAACAAACAGCATCCCAGAGGCTTTTCTTGGAGACTTCCAGCATATGAGTTATATTTTAAACTCCTTCAAGGAGGTTGTTTAGGAGACTATATACGGGAGTATTATGGGGGTTACTAAGTGGGATACTAGGAGTTTCGACTATAGCTCATATAGTTTGCAGAAAGCGCCTTCTGGGGATTGGCGCATAGGTTTGTCATTCTGGTGGCGATCGAATGTTGCACCCTACTGGGAGAGTACGTCGCACGTGCTATCCCGTATCATCATCCGTCATTTTCTGTCGTATGATCTTATTTGCAGTTTACTACACTTCCTTTGTTCTTCCCTGGCACTCCTTGAAACCTTGCTCTATCCTCACACTACCGAAGAGTTACTTCTGTACGTGTTTTGCCTTAAAATGCCATGTTATCCCTATTTTACCCCCATATACACCCTATAATCCCTATATCACCCCAATATACACCCTACAATCCCTAGACAACCCCAACATACTTAGCAGTTTCCATGTTCGTTTCCATGTTCGTCTCCATGTTTGTTTCCATTATCCCTATATAGCCCCAACCCTAAACCCTAAACCCCAATTATGATAGTTTCCATTTTCTTTTCCATTATCCCTATTAAACGCAACCCTAAACCCCAAACCCCATTATAGTAGTTTCCATCTTCTTTTTCATTATCTAGCAACATACAGCCCTGAGGCCGGAGGTCCACCATGGCAGTCAAGGCAGGCTACGGAGCAGCTGTTTTCGAGTAGTCCAAGTGGCATTGTCAGATGCTTAAAATGTTCCCCGTATTGTTGCTTAACGGAACCTATTCATCAAAAAGTTTGGGGGTCCTTGATAGTACGACGCACTCATCATAATGGTTGCAAGGGATTTTACAGGGGAGGTTGGAGATTTATCTTTCGCGTTTTCGTTGTAGCTTTGGCGTCCTCCATGTTCAAGCCATGGTCACACTTGCAATTCCCACAATACGGGTCAATGAAGATAATGGATACTGTGAATGATGGCGCGTAGTTTAGGAAGTTTCGGGAGTAATGCCAATGATTTCTGACATGTTCCGACTGTATGTTGCAAGCGTTGAGACAAGTTCTTTAGAACTTTGTTCTGAAGATTGCAAGGTCACAAACCCATTTGCTATGCAAAAGGCTGAAGTGTATGATGCATCCATGAGATCCTGAGTGCATGAGTTGCTGGCATGAGATGGACCTTTGCATAAACCTGCCGTAGCCCTTTCAGGGGCTTGAGCCAACCTCTTTTTCATTTCCGCTTTAACATATCAGCACGCGCAGAATCCACTCAGACTGCAGACATGCCTCGCATCGTGGCAGTCCGGCTGCCGGGTTGCTGTTAAGGAGCTTAGATTAAGACACTATATTGGGGCAATCCTATTAGTTGTTACATCTATATATACATATATACCCGCTATGGTTACGTAATCTAAGATCCCTAACAGCAACCCAGGCTGTTTCCGAGTGGTGCGTACGATGAGATCGAGTTCGAGTATGATGGGATTCTCACGCCCAGCAGCTTTGACGTGCCGAAGTTGCATGGCTGCAAGGGACAGAATGACAAGAGTCAGTGTGAACCCTGAGGTGCTGCAATCACATCTCAGTACAGTTGCTGTGAAAATGTTTGTCCGTTAGATGCTTTGCTCCACGCTTTGAAGCGAATTCTTGCTTAACAGGCGGGTTCGCGGTAAAGGCAGGGCATTGCCCATGGGACGCATCAGAGAAGCCTCAGAGATTTTGCGGGGCTGATGCCGAGCAAACCACGTGGGACGCACTCATGTTTCAGTCACCACTACTTGGCCCACAACAGATAGTAATGGTCAGCATGACCTACAAGGATGCATGGACCGCCATGACCAGGGAAAGTACTGTCAAGGATCGTCATTGTAATTCATCAGGGTCATAGAAATGAGACTTGAAATCGTACTTCCATGAAACGCACAAGCCATGACTTCAAGAATGATCTTGACCTGGGAGCTTGTAAATCATCCCCACATGCTTTGGGTGGTGACCTGAACCCTATACCCTATATAGATTCTAAACCCTATGCAAGGCTCTAAACCTTGAACCCAATGTAAACCCTCAACCCTACATCAACCCTATGTAACGCCTAAACTCTAAATCAGCCCCGCCGTGCTGCTCAGGCTCGGCAAGCTGTTGGCGCAGCTTTTCCATCCCCAGGCGCAGGGAACCCTGGACCAGTTCTACAAGGACAAGATGCAGGCGGTGGGTTTACCCCAATAGTGCAGAAACAAAAAGACAGGTATAGCCGACTGGGTGTGGGCAGTCATCCTTTGGAGCTTCTTCAGGGACATGTGAAAGGATAACGTACCAATTTTCCACAAGGCTTGGCGGGTTTCTGCGGAGTTGTTGAGGTGACTAGAAGCCTGCAATTTCACTGAACCACATGTGTTGGAGTGACTGTGGCGTTCTAGGAATATATTACAAAGTGGGATATGACATTGTCAGGTGAAGGTCCTGGAGACGGAGAAGGTCTTTGAGAGTGAGAATCCCGAGAATTCTCGGCTAGTCATGCTGACTCTCTATCCCTGGCCTTGGCGACATAACGACGAAGACATTAACGATCTTGCCCTCCATCTTGTTTCAAAAAGCTGGAGGGAGGAAAAGAATGTCTTCCAAATGCTGGGGCCTGCGTTGCTCTTCCGAAAGGCACCCAAACCATCCCGCGGCATTCTCAAAAGCCCACTTGGTGGGGCCCCTCGCCAAGACCTCAACCTAAACTTGTTTTGGGCCGCAGTCCACCACATCTTGGCGCCGCGCGGCTTGCAACGACCAGTTCCAAAGGCAGCACCCATCCCGAAGTTCAAGGCCAAAGCCATACCACCTGGGCCAGCAAGTCTGGGAAGTATCCCCCAGTCTCAAAATCTCGGTGCAGCTGTTCCCAAAGCTGTCCTGAAGCCGAAGCTTCTGGCTTCTGCTGCAAAAGCTCCTGCAGCAAAGCACACCCCCAAAATGCCTCCGGCCCCAAAGGGCAACAATTTCTCGTTGCTCGTGGACAGTGATTCTGACTCTGACTCAAAGTCTCCTCACGTCCCACCCAAGAAACCTGAGGCCAGACCACCTCCTCATTTAGGCGCACAAGTAGCGAGTGCGATGGCAGTGTCCGACACAGCCACACCCGCCAAGTGTGCACCCCTGGAGACAATTCGGCCAGCGCCTTCTCCGAGTTCTCCTGACGAGCTGCGGCCTGCTCTCACAGCAGAGATGCTCGTGGCCTCTGCCCGTGCAACCTCTGACCCTTCCGCCCCTGGCTGTTTGCAGTGCCTCGCCCCCAGCCCCGGCGTCGTGAGAAGGTGTCCGGCCCTGGTTCCACCGTGGAATGCAGGCGACATGCTCACGCAGAGCCCCATCCATCTTCTTCGGAAGCTCTTGCAGGAAGCCACAAAGTTCCTGCACCACATCGTCCTGGCGCGCTTCAAGTCCAATGATTCTTCGAAGAAAAACCCAAGCTTCGTCTTCAAAGTATCTGACAGACATCACAATATCATGGAGAAGACAGGTGAGATCAGAGGCATCTACGGGATTTCCGGCTTTCGCATGATTGATGGCCGCTCGCAGGAGTTTGTGCACAGCGCAGAGGCCTTTGAGAACAGCCGCCTGCATGAAGTGAAGGATCTGGGTCGCCTTCTTGACCATGTCCTTAAACGGAACAAGTTCTATGGTGCCTCTCAAGCAGATGCCCGCGTGCTTGCTATCATTCGCAACAGCTTCAGCCACCGACCTTGCTTACGACATGCAAGTAGGGATCCCAACCTGGTCCACGAGGAAGTCCTGCAGGCGACCTCGAGGTTCCTTTCGATCCTCTTAAACCTTGTGGATATGGAAGAGCTGGAGAAAAAGCAAAATGTGGAGACCTCCACGGTAAAGTTCTATCGCAACATCCTTGCATCCTTCAAGCACAGCATCAGCAGGATGAGGAAGATGCAGGCAAGCAGCCTCCGCGGGGAGAGCATTGATGTCCGGAGCTTAAACACGAACTTTCTGCAGTCAAGACGGCAACAGCAGCATCGATGACATCAACAGCAGCAATAGCTACAAAATGCTACTGTTCTCTAACATTAGAGCCATGCATGACTCAGTGTCAACCTGAGGTCGGCGCAAGCTTGCAGGCATGGCAGAGAAAGATTGATTCGGAGCTGCGTGAGGGCAGCAATTCGAGCGCCTCCGTTGCGTTGATGGGCCTGGTGGGCAGCCGCTTCGAGCAAACAGAGAAGCTGGGTGATGGCAAAAGGGCAGGTAGCGGTGACAGAGCTGCAGAAGAATCAGAAGAAGACTGGACTGTCGCTAAGAAGGACGACAACTTCAAGAAGGGCGTGGACGTTGGCATTCCCGTCTATGACCATAAAGAAGCCGTCGTGTCGGTGCTCTATGATCCAATGGCAGTCACGAATCAGGACCATAAAACCTCAACCCAAAACCAAACCCTGGACACACAAATCCAGATCCCTTTTGCAGGACTTGGTCAACACAGGTTTTGATGCTCTAAGTCTGATCCTGGATCGTAATTGAGATGGTTGTTTCACATGTGTCAGGAACGTTCGTATTCTATAGACTCAAACTGAACAGAAGTGATCCTTTAGTAGCCTGCTCTTAGAAATATTCATTCACAGTTCAGCTGGAATCATGTCGTAGTTAGTTGTTCAAAATACCTCTGGCCTGTTAAGGAATTTAAGTTAAGCTGCTATTACAAGGAAAAGCTTACAATTTACTTTATGCCCATCTTATGTCAACCCAAGACCAAGGATCCTTTGGGACATTGAATATGAGTTCGGCAAGAAGGATAACTTTCAGGGCCAGTGCTTCGCCAAACTCAGGTGCCATTAGCACATGTGTGATTTGCACTGAGATGTGGAGCCCTGATGATAGCTTCTGCAAGACTAAGCCTGTGGGAAGAAATCTTTGGGGAATCCCAAAGACCTAAACCCTAAATCCTGCAAACATCCAATCAGAATTCCATCGTAAGACCTTCCTGAGATGTAGAGGAAGCCCTCCAGGTGCATCGTGATCGATGAGGATGGCCTTTGTGACTTGTCCGGCGTGCTTCTGCGAGAGGCAACGCCGTCTTCTTACCTCTGGCTAGCAGGAAAGGAAGGAATGGAAAGCAAAATGAAAAATATTCTATTATTGGGGATTACATTGGGGCTACTATCACGATCCATTCTTTCTTTCCTGTTAGCTAGAGGTAAGCTACAGGCTTGATCCTGTTCTGCATGCTATTTGTTGTTGGTGTTGTGATGATGTGTAGGGCTGGATGTTCCTCCAGGCACAGGATCCAGCGGCTGAGTTCGAAAAATTCCGCGACCCGAGCATGCTGCTGGACACTTGACAGTTGTTACACTGTGTCGTGTCCTCATGAAAATTGAAGACCGCTGAAGAATGCCTGCATCCAATCATGTTTTGTCTCCTGTTCCCTCCCTTGTCCCGGAGCCTTATGTTCTAGACTGCCCTACAGCCCAAACTGCAGAACAGGACCCCTAAAGTGGTGTTTGTCTGCCTGACATCCCCAAAAACTTCCCTTTAGGACCCCAGACGGCGCTGCTCAGATGGCACCCTCCCTGCGGCGGTGCCACCTCTTCTTCCTTCCCTCTTTTCCTTGGCCTGCCTCTACTCCAGCTCGTCAGTCCGCTCTCACCTTTCCTTCGCTTACACAAGTCCATCTCACCTGTGTCCGCCCTGCCCTGCCGCTTCTGCCGCCCCTGCAGCTGCCTGCCTTCCGCGCCCTTGTCTTTACCACTCGCAATTTCCCTCCTCCCTCTTAGCCTGCTCCTTTCAGCGGCTGTTGCATGCCTGGCGTACCGCCCTTGTCTTTGGGACCCTGCTTCTCCCACTTCTGGGCTATTTTGAGTGATCCAGCTCTCATCTGTGTCTGCTCCTTACCGGACCGTTTAGGCTGACTCTGACTCTGCTGCTCATCACTTGGCATAACCTGTGCTGTGGCTCTTGTTCTGGCTTGGCGCGCACCTTTGTTTGCTGTTGGCTTTGCATCTTTCCTGTGTTCCTCTCCTCTCTTCCAAGCACGCCTTTGTGAGTGTCACCGGACCTATCTTTCAGCGGAAGCTGGCTATCACACCTGCGGAGCCACCCCGCAATGTGGGAGTAAGAGCGTGTACAGCTGTTAGCTTTCCAATTCAATCCCATCCCCAAAGAACCCTGATACAACTAGGCTCATATTTCAGAAATCTGGCAGTCAATGCCGTTAGTGCTATTATCTTGAAACAAATATGCAACATGATGCTGAGCAAACCTTAAGCAGCTAAATGCTAATGGGCCCACTGAACCCCCCCCAGGAAGTTGCTGCCACGTTCTTTGAGCCGCGCAGCTGCGATCGCAGCACGCTGACAAAAGCTCAGCTCAGCGAGCTGACGCTTGACTGGTGTTGAAGTCTTTCAGGGTTTAGGTTTTAGGGTTGTGTCGGGTTGTGGATTTTTTCAAGTGTGCACAGATAGGTTTGACACACTTTTCGCTTTGAATGGTCTCTGGACAGGCCTTTGAAAAGTTTTTTTGGCGGTTGTTTCCTCGCTTTTAACAGCTATGAACAGTGTTGTAGCTCATCCTTGGGCTGCGGCATGTGTCCATTGATTTCATGGGTTTGGGAATGTCCTATGTCGGTCCAATGGTTTTGTCACGTTTGTGCAAAAAGTCTTGATCGGGGCTGGTGTAGCGGTCCAGAGAGATGATTCAATGGCTTGTAAAGCCTGGCAGAAACAATGGCTTTGGGCCTTCAGACCTAAACCCCCTTCCCTAAATCTTAAGCCCTAAATCCTCATCTAAAGATAGACCTCTGCATCATTTACCTGGGCTGCATCCGCTTTAAGGAAGTGAGCCTTTTTTTGACACTGTGCTCGTGACAATGCACAATCAGTGTAGTTGAGATATAGGGGGCGTATATTATAGATATGTACATATATGTCATGTAGCGTTATATAGGATTATAAGAGGGGTGTGTCCCTCTAGGGGATATAGGAACAACGGAGAATCAAATGGGAAACAAACTGGAAGATTAAGTGGAAGCTGGATGTTTTGTGTTTGATAAGATTCTCGTTAGGGCCCCTTTCGGTGGTTACATAGCGGATATGTATGTTGGCATTGGGATTTATAGAGGGTTCAGGGTGTCCGAAAATTACGGGTTCGCTTTTTTGGGCGTCCCTGTGATGAGGATTACAGTATTTGTGAGACTATTTTGGAGAGTCCATTTATTCGCGGAAACCTTCCTGCTTAGCATGCTGGCAGGCGCATTTCAGTTTGAAAGATGTGTGGGACCTCAGGGCCTCAGGTTTGAGAATAACTTTTTTGAAGGGCATGCTGGTGAGTGTGACTGGCGACTGGATACTCGGGAAAAAGACTCCAGGCTAGAGGTTCTGTCAAGTTGGTGTGCTCCGCGGAGATTGGGCCAGGCCGTTGTGAACATGTCTAAAAAAAAACGCACTCAATCCTCAGTATTGACCCCAAGATTCCGCCTATGATCTCTATATAAACTCCCACGTACAGGGGGAGGCAACTGAAAGGCACAGGGGCCAGCGTGCTAAAGTGGTGATGGGGCCTTTGCTTTTTGTAGGCTACTGAGGGTCTTGGTCCGCATTGCTACACGAAATGCCAGCATGTAGTGCTCTTATGCACTCTTCAACGTTTTAAATTCTACGGTTCAGGGTTCGGAGAGCCGTCAAGTCTTCCCTGGCTGTCTCTTGTCCGCAGCCAGTTCGCATGCTGGGGCGGTCAGTACTGGAGACAAGGTTCAACAACTTGGTAGGCCGGCGGGCCCAACATGCTGTTCATGAAATCGCTTTCCGCCTTCTTGTCGATGCTCGAGGACAACTGAAATAATGCTGTGCTCCGAGATCAATGCCGCAACGGCAACGTTTAAACCCAGATCTTATCCTGAAACCTCAAACGCTGACATCCTCACTCTTCGCCCAGGAAGAAGGAAGAGCACCGGCTGCAAGGCTTGCGGAGGACTTGCCAGGACCTGATCCTACTGTGCAGGGCTCTCAGCCCCTGGGCAGTGTTTATGCTCATGCCAGCGTTAGCGGCCGTGGACGAAATCCTAATTCTATCCATTCTTCAAGGACCTCAAGATCCTCAAGAGCTTGCGGTACGTCATCGTTTGCGCGGGCAGGGGTTGCGGTGGTATGGGGAGGGGTGTACAGAACTACATCCGTGGTGGATTATACATGACATGCTGCAACACAAGCCACCGCAATGCCAACGGCAACAGCGTCGCCGAATGAACCGAAGCGCGTTTAAGAAGATTCTAATAGTCGGGATTCGGCAGGGTTGGTATGGGACGAAATGAACGTCGTAGAATCTTGGTGAAAACTGAAAAACGTGTAATTCAGCTGGAAACACACGAAATCATAAAACTGGAAAACAACGCAGGGCCAGCAACTACAATTCATGCCGGTCAAGCATACAATCTGCATGAAATCCAAAGTTTCAAAGTTTGCGAGCACACATCTTCAGTGCAAGCTGTCTAGATGCCAAACACGCGCGAGACGAAATGCAAACCTCGCAGAATCTTGGTGCAACAAAACCAATGTGCGGACACCTCATACATCGCCCAAACAAAATCATTTATAGTTCGAAGGGGGGCAAATGCATTGTTGAAATGTTGCCCAAAATGCAACAAAACACAATCGCGTTCCAAAACGCACTTTTCCAGCAAGTAGTGGCAGGCGGGGCACGAAGTGCACATCCGATACTGTTTTTGCCTCTGGCCATCGACGCCGGCATGACCTTGTTCTCTTGTGTGTTTGTTTAGTGCATTTTTCTGTATCCTTGTTGAACTAGATTCTTTACTGGTGTGTGGTGCCGTAGATTTCTACATGGAGCACGTGGAAGGGTCCAGAGTCCAAACCATGCATCTGCGCTATGCCCGGAATCTGTTGGTTTTTCTGGTGGTCCATATTGCCTTTGAGTACGACCAGTTTTCAGGGAGCTTCAATCTCAGAGGATGACCACTCCAGCCTGACCCGTACAGGGTCTCGAAACCCAAAAGACGAAGGTCATCATGCCGTGCAAGCTGACGGTGAGCAGTTGAAAGCCAAGAACGCGGCGGATGCGCTTGCCCATATGAGCCTAGGTAGCATTGGAAGCATAGACTGCTGAGCCATATCCTTACTGGTGGCTGGCAGGGAATTAAGGAGTGTAATCCCTCTGTAATCTCTATATTCCCTTTTTTGCCTGCTAACCACCAGCCAGTATTATGGTAAAGAAACACGAGTTCCAGGAGTGCGGTCGCTCACGAACTTCGGGAGATAGCTCTTGCTTCTGGCCATGTGATGCCCGGCAACATCGAGCATCACATGGAGCTGCTTGAGGCACTGCGCTGCAATATCTCTGAAAAGGGGAAGAACAATAAAAAGGCCACAAGCCGGTGACAGAAAGAGTTGTGCTGATAGAAGTACAAGAAGATTACAAGGTGATGGTGGTGGTGGTGGCCGCATGCAACAAGTTCGGAAGTTGTCTGCATGTGCACACTGTCGAGCTCAGGTGCTGGAGACAGAACTACAGAAAGGCTCCAACTACAAGAAGTTCCGCAGACGCGAGAGGCAGGCCGAGTACTTGGCCAGCCAGGGCAAAGCATTGGTCTACATGCCGCTGTCCTAAATTTGCTTCAAAGTCGGTAGGCCCGGTAGCTTTCAGAACAGCAAACTTATCTAGCAGCAGCATCGTCGAAGCCCAGTGAAAGAAGTGTTGTCTTGCGTGCTAGTCATAGCTCGCTTGGGGGCACTTCTTACAGATGTTGTTTGATGCTTACCAAAAGGCTTCAATGTACTCCGTTTCCTACGTTGTGCTTAGCTGCATATGTCTGAAGGGGGTGTTTATGCAAGCTGTCCTGCCAAGCCTCCTGCAAAATGCCTCGTTTCAGTGAGGTCGGAGCGGCTGCTACCTCTTTACCAGAACCTGCCCGAAGAAGAGCTGGCCATTCTGCGAGCGCAGCTCGAGCGGGCCGCTCGACAAAACTCCTTGTTGAGTTCCTATGTCATCCTCGAGAATTGATTTTTCTGCCTTATCGAATCCTAAGTCATCCTCGGATCGCCTTTCATATTCCAGGTCCCCGACAGCATGAAGTTCTTCGCTGAGAATCTCGGCCATTTACAAGACCCAGGTCTTGCAAAGTCCATCCCATCATCTCAAGGAATTGCTAACACGTGACACGGTTTAGGGTTTAAGAGTTTAGGGTTTGGGGTTTATGGTCGAGCCCTGAAGCCTAAGAACAGCCCAGGAATGACTCAATGAGCTCTGATACCGCATCTCTTGAGCTTGGAGATGAGATGGGCTTGTTGGAGGATGCCGATGCCTTCCTGGCAGGCAAAACCTCATGCCGAGCAGCACGAATGCATTAGTGACGTTACCCAGACACCCTCGAGGATCCAAGAAAGGGAACCCCAGGAAAATGTTCCATTACTACGCATTGGGGAACCTAGGCTAGGGGATCATAGGGAGATTGAACCTTTTGGCATCCTTTATGGGATCTGGGTCGTGGAAGCCCAGCTTTGAGTTACCTCCGAGCATGTGAAAGGCCATCGATACGATGAAGAGAGCTTTGCAGGACCGGCTTGTTTTTCAAGCAGGGTTTTGGCCAAAGTCCATAAAGGTAAGACACCCTAACCCCTAAAGCATCCTCTGGTCCAAGCACTTTGAGCCCCAAACCCACAATTCTCAAGCGTCCCTAGCCACTTTTCCAGAGGCAAAGACCATGCCTGTGAAAGGGAGTGCCCATGTTGGATGTTAGGAGTTCCTGGACAAGCGCAAGCCAGAGAAGTCTCCGGGACTCACAATCACAGCGGACGAGGCCGAACAGATGCTTGCCGCTGTGGACAAGGCTGACATGCAAACACTTGGAGACTGGCCTGCGCTTTGGCATCTCTCTGTACTTTGTTGAGGCGCTTGGTAGAGGACCTCAGTTTTAAACAGGTCGAGGGGGGCTTGGAATGCCAGCCCAGGAGAGCGGCTGAAGCAGCTGCACCTTGCACAGCTCAGCGAAAGCGCAGAGATCTCAGCTCGGGCCTTGAAGAAGCTGGTGAAGGACTATTCTTGGTGTTTTCAGTTCGGGAGCGAAGTGGGGCATGATTGCTTGCGTCAGATCATATCATGATCAGTTTGAGCAGCCTTTTTGCCTGGTGCATTGAGATGTGTGAAGGATTTTCGCCAGCATTACGCCGGGACAACCAGCCAGGGCCAGTTGCTTGGCCATCAGCTCGAGCTTTCTGGAAGCCAGAAGAAGGATCTTGCAGGGTGTGAGGGCGCTCGTGTCTCGGAGCCGATGCTGGCTTGCTGATTCATCATTTGTTCCTCTGTACTGTGAATGAGGCTTCAGGTCTTGTGAAGGCTAAATCCCAAGCAGGAGCTCAACTGATCTTCAATTTCCTCTGCTACGAAAGAGCTCCTTGTGTTCAAAAGCATGACCTAGGCCAGAGGATGAGAGTCTCAATTCGAGGACAATTGACCATGCCAGCGCAGCTTTCGAGCAAGAGGCGATGTGTGCATGTTGTCTTGTGTTTTTTATGTTTTCATGACTGCTGAGAATGCCCCTGTCGCATCCTTGGGGGTGTGAAACTAAGAACCGGTACTTAGTCAGCGAATGCGCAGGACATTGAAGGGAGTCCTTCTGCCCACAATGAGTGTCACTTTGCGTCTAACTCACTTCGACGTAGTTTTGACTACTTATGTTCATATTATTGTTCGCACAACTATGCTGATCCTGAAGAAGCGCCTGCTCAGGAAGTAGTGCAGGCACGTGAGAGCACGTTCCAGCTTCAGATGTAGTAGCAATCATAGCACGCCTGGTGATATTCATCATATGCAATCGGACAGGAGGAATTGTCAGAGATAGAAAAAAGCTGTCATATCAGCCATATCACAGGAGAGAGGCCCTCTGCGGCTAGTTGAGTTCTTATCAAGCAAGGGCTTGCAACAAGGGTTGTGGGTGTCCCTTGGTCATTTTGCTCAGGCTTTTGGAGCCAAACTGGACCAAGAGGAGGGATTGGGCGATGGGGTCCGGGTGCTTTCTTGATGTTTATATGGAGGTGTCTAAAGCCTCGAAAGAACACATACAGAACATGAGAGGACTTGTTCCTGGCCTAACATCAGTGCCAAGTTCTGCTTATGCAGTGCCGTTCATAATATCATAGCTGCGGAAAATGGGAATGCTGGGTTCGGGAAGACAGCTTGAACAAAAGCCGGGTCAGATACGAGCAGGCAGCTTGCAGTGCGCATGTGCACAAAGAAGCTCTGCCATAGTTTGTTTTGCTCTCGTGGCTTGTGACTGAAGTCAGGGGTGGCTGTCCATACTTGCAGCTTTTCATGAAAAAGGCTTGGCGCTCATTCAGTCCATGCAGGCGTTCGCCAGCTGTTGCAATCTGCTCTGCAGTCTCATCAAAGCGGGAGCTTGCAAGGCTGGTAAGGCCCGTGTATGTGGAAACCGGAATTGATCTTGGTAATGATCGCCAAGCCTTTTCATCTCTGCAAGCTGCCTGCTCCTATCTGACCTAGCTTGCGTTCCAGCCCCCACCCCCAAGTTATTTCTTTGAGAACAGAATTTCTCGAGCTATGAAAACTTGCGCATCAAGACTGTGGTAGTTGGCGATACAGGCTCTTCCCTTTTGGGGCATTGTTGAAAGTTCCCCTAGACCTGCTGGTTCTTCGTAGGGGATAAGGGAGTAAGGGAATAGAACCCCTATGTAATATGTTCCCGCGTTTCCTACTAAGAACGAGAAAGTAGAATAATAGAATTTCTTCAATGTCTGAGTGTCCATGCACCAGCTGAATTTGAATGAGAACAGCATTTCTTTGCGCCGCTCCTGCGACTGATTTTAAGCCCAAAGCGAAAATGGCTGTTTCCTTACGTAGTCGGTAAAATCCAAATACATCCCTGGGTTCCAAAGGGTATCTGCCTCGTATTGAGACACTCCCAAATCATGCGAGGCATCTGTGAAATTGGCCGAAGAGCTACAGGCCTTTGCGCGCGTTCTTGGAATGGAGCCAAGGGAAGTTTGGAATGACTTCGAGGGCCGCTGGACCATAGTTGCATGCTGTTTTCATGTTGGTGGCTGGGGAGTATGTATGCATTGCGAGCACACCCTTTGGCCCCAAACCCTCGACCGTAAACGATTGTTTTTGCTGACTCAGGCTTGGGCTTTGCTCACCTTACTGATTTTCAGAAGGCTGTGCTGAATAAGTTTGGGTGGCGGCCAGATAAAGCGCTGGGCGATGGCAATTGCCTCTTCCATTCTGTAGCAAGGGCAGTCGGTCAGGACCATAAAACTGTCCCTGGATCATGATAGAAGACAGTTTTCTTTGCATCCTAGGCTGGCATGAAGGCCTTGACATTTTTGAAGTGTCCAAGCTGTGAAAGCTTTCATTCTAACTCAGGCTTGTCATTCTTTCCCAGTAGCGAAAGTCCGCCTTGAGTAAATCAATATGGAATGTGTGGGGATCTTAGTATGATGCTGGGCCATACCATATTCTCTCTACGCAAGAGGGGCCATATGTTTGGGATTAGCACTTGGATAGTACCCAAGCTATGCTCCCATTCATGGCCCAGGTTCGTAGACGAGGCATCCAGTGGCTCACGCGGAACTTCACAAAAGCCGCTGCCATTCCCGAAAGGTTTCCTGATCTCAGCGAGGAATACTTGGAGACAATGGCCCGAGACACGGAGCAAGGAGACCGGATCATAGTTTCAGAACACTTTGTTGAGGTGCGTGGATAGTTGTCATGATGATCGTCATGATACCGCTGGATTGCTAGCGATGATATCACAATCCTAGGGAGCCAACAGGTACAATAGCTTCTGAGGCTATTTATAGTGACCATGGCAGTCAGACTGATTGCAACCATTGCTGCCCAGGAGACGGGACGATCCTGCAAGCGTTGGCCGAAGAGTATGGTCGAAGGATGGTGGTGCTCTCCAATATTCCTGCTCAATGCTGGCAAGTTCTTGACCCAGAAGAGCTCCAGCACAGCACGCCGGTCGTGGTCCTGTATCCGGACAATTTGATCAGCATGTTCCATAGAGAATCCCAAACAAGAAGGACCCCCAAAATCCCCTCGTGGTCCCCATTCGCCCACCCATCTTGCGAAGGCCACTTTTGCCTATACGAATACCCCCGTACTGGCATCAATCTTATCCCTATCATTTGGCTGATGCCAGATGTGACTCAGGCTCATCTAAATAAGGAATCTGTAAAAATGCCAAGGTACACCAACACACCCTACCAGAACAGATCATGCGGGCACTATGATGCGGTCGTGCTGTTGCAGGCGGCCACGTTCAGAAACTGACTTGAGCGCAGACTCTCTAGAACAGTGCGAATCATCACAGTCTTGTCCTCCATGAAGATGCTGGGTGGTAGATATACGTGCCTTTTCCCTGTCCTTCTGTCACCTGGTCTGTATTCAGGCACGCACCTCGCCTCGACCCGGATTTTACAGTTCCAAATCGTGGTATCAGCCCTAGGAAAAACCGCCGAAAACAGTGCTCAGAAGTGCGGCTTCCAGTGCGGTGCTGTGAGTAGGGAATGGAGGAATGGAACATGATGGTAGCCCCTGTGCAATCCCCAATAAGAAGTCCTTTCATTCCATACTAAGAAGCTGCAAGGCAGAGCACAGTGGTAGAGGGAAGCATTCGCAGCCATCCAGAACTATGGTGTAAAGAGATTTCAAGCTTAACGCGCAAGTCTGGTAAACAAATTCTGCCTGGCGTAAATCCCGTCCAAGCTATGACCGCGCTTTGCTGATGTTTGATCTTCAGAACTGAGCATGGTGGCACTGGGGGCACAACAACTTGCTTTGAGATGATGATTGGATTCATGAATGCGAAAATCGTCTAAAGCTAGAGTTACCGCGGCTCGTTCAAACTTAACAGTTTCCAGGACAGGAAGTGAAAAGAAACCAATCATATTGTTTGGAAGTGCATTCAGTTTCAGGGGGCCACGCTCATTCGAGAATAATACGTTCCTCCATTCTTCAAAAAGACCAGCAAGCTGATAGGCCGAGCTGACGGGGCCCGGCGAAGCTTCAGCAAGTGATGCCCAATCCGTCCCAAAGGCCTGATGTAGGGCCGCTTGGGGTTTAGACATTTGGGTTTAGAGCTTGGGATTCATGCGGTTTGGCTCCTTGCGCCCGTGTTTGTGTGTATGTGAACACCAACTGCCTGCTACCGGGCTTCACAAGTCAATCAAGAAAGGCCTGTGCTGGTGAATGGCGTGTACTGGTTGTCGGCACACGTGCTCGTTTCAGACACACATTCACGTCAAATCTCCGTTGCAACTTACTGAGGAATTGTCACCTGAAGCTTTCTGCGCATTCCAGGTTTGTGTGATCCCCTCGGTGCTTCAGAAACTCAGGAAGGTTTGGTGTGCTTCATGACTTTCAATGCGATCATACCCTCACATCCTTTGCAGCCTGCAACACCCGAAATCCGGAAAACTTCAAAGGAGGAACCCGTAACTACCCTAGGTATATTGTGGGCCTGTGCAGGGATTGCAGGGGTCCCTTACTAGGAATTCTATATCATAGGGATTGCTTCGAAAAACTCCCATGTTTTCATGAAGAGAAATCCCTCACCTACCAGGCCAACAAGAACAAGATGTGCGCGGACGCTTGGTTATTTGGATTCGCAGATTGTTTTAGACGCCCGTAGAGCATGTCAGGGGCTTCGTGAAGAAGCTTCAGAAGTTGAAATCTCCGAACAAGGCTGCGGTAGAATTTTTAATCTCAACAGCCGCAAACCCTAAACCTTGAACACCTCAACCATAATGCTGGACCAAAGTTCAACATTTATCTCTTGTATGTCTGGACGTTAGTACGCTTGGGGCTGGTCGAGCCTCGGCGACGCATCTCAAGCGGAAGCCTTCGTTTCATCAAGGCATTTTTCTGCGCAACTTTCAATACGTTGATGACTCCACTGGCCCTGCTTCTGCTGATGAAATTTTGGGGCTCAGCGACCTACACCCAAGCGCTAGAGTGCTGTGGTTCCTCCTTGCAGCAGTGAGCAGGGAATGCCTAGCGTGGTCGGGGGCACCATGGGTATCATCCCGAAGCCTTCTCAAGCCTCTGGTTTAGGAATGAAGGAATGGAAAAGAAATTGGAAGCTACTAAGGTAGCTGGATGTTACTAAAAGGCCTCTTCGTTTAGATTCAGATCCTCCATGCACCATCTCTTGAATTCTTCAGCTAGCTTGTCTTTATTCTTTGTTATCCCTCCAGGGCTTGGCAGTTTCACTGCTCTTAGGATGCTCCTTCTGGACCGGCACTGCAGCCAGCGGCTCCTTCCCAGACGTGGGCCGATCAACTGACAACGCCTGAGCTCACTGCGGAATGGGTGGTTTCTGCGACGGACTCTAAAAGGTCGCAGCGCTTCGAAATTCCTAGCCTCATAAAGTCTCGACATGTAGGATCCCAGGTGCACTTGAGTGTAGATATGTGACCCGTGAGCATAGAGCGCGTCTTGTGTAAGAGAAATTTGGAAGAAGTAGCCACAGAAGTTTATCTCTGAGAAGGAACACTGTGCAGGACCGGAGACATTTTCCTGGAGGAGGAAATCACTGGAAAATCGCTTCGGTTCTTCATGACGGAGGAGAAGTTGCAGAAGTTGGGGGTCAAGTCAGGCCCCTCCGAGGTGCACGGTTAGGCATGTGCCAAAAATCTGTTTTGTTTCTGAAGACCTTTTTTGAGAGTCTTACTGCTGCGGGTGTAGCCACAGGGCTTGATGTTCTTCAGACATGGCTTCAGTTGGCCAAACATCGCTAGGACCTCTTTATCAAACATACTTGCCTGACCTAGAGTTGAGCTGTTGTCAAGTCGGGTGTCATACAACTCGGGCCCCTATGTACTACACATCCCCAACTGTACACCCGCAGCGCGCAGTCCTCGAGCATGCTCCTGCCTTGTTGAGGTGCTTCTGTGGGAGTGGGAGAAGCTCAAGAATCAATGAGTCTTCAGCATTTGCGCAAGCATGACATTCTTCTCGAGTTGCCTTCGTGGCAGCCGCAGGAGTAGTAGGAGATTTTGTACATTCTAGCACTGTATAGGAATTTGTATGGTAAAACTGCTTGGTGGATGTACAGACCTGTAGAGAGTTCTTCTCAAAGCTCTGGTCAGCAAGACTTTTGGCAAGCCTGACCTTCCCAAGGGTACCGCCTCATCGCCAAAAACTTTGCAGACATGCCAACACCAGAAAGCCACACCTGAAGCACATCAAACTGTCCTCGATCAGTGGATCTTGAAGGGCTAAGCAAGAGCTCTTAGGCGTACTTGGCTGCAACCTTACTGCAGTTTGCATGACAGCTTGTTCATATGGCCTTTGCAGACACTGACTCCTTCTTGTGCTGCACATTATAGGCTGCATGACGTTTCTTGTGCAGGTGATGCAGATGACACATGCTGAGGCGGCCCATCACTACCAGGAGCTCGAGGGTAGAACACACAAGTTGAGCCCTTATGCCCTTACAGCTTGCAAGATTTTGCAAGCAAGGTTGTACCCAAGGCAATCATAGCCCACAGGACTTATGACGCTTGTCCGCGGAGAAGGTATAGGGTAGGTAAACAGCTGCGTGGGCTGGGGTGCCGAGAGGTTTCAATGTCAGCTAAACAAACCCCCGTTTCCAAGTCATGTTCCATATTGGTTTCCGTTTCATACTCCATTCTTTGGGCTAATAAGATAACCCAAAACCTAAACCCTAAATAGTAGCTTCCATGTCATTTTGCATTTACTGTTCCATTTGATTTTGCGTCAATGAGGTAATATCCCTGAGCCCACTATTTGCTTTGGGGTCTATGTCGGCCTCCTTGGATTGAGCAGAATGATGGGCTGCTTCTTGACGTAGGCATTTGGTTCCATCGCAGCGTTGCAGGGGGCTGACCAATGCTCTGGTCTGAGCTCCCAGCGGACTTTTGCACGCCTGCGAAGCTGCTCTGCATCGAAAAGTCGCTATCTTGAAGGGTCTCCTGCATGCTCGGAAGACGATGCCCAGCCCAACCATTTAGAGTTCTGCCGCTGTTGGGCGGCCTGTAGACAAGCCTGAAACCAAGAGAGCCTTGACTTCAAGCTGCTAGTCGCGCCAAGATTTTTTTGCTCAAAAACACACCAGTTTGCTCCCCGTCTCCAACTCGAGGCGCCAGCAGGGGGGCATGGGCATGCCTTAGGGTCATTGAAAGCAGATCGGCATCATGAATGAAGCTGAAAGCCAGCGCTTGCCCTGCACGAGCATCGCGCACAGAGGGTCAGTAGCATCCCGTTGCTGTGGCAAACGCCGCAAGCTCCGCAAAGTCAGGATGAAGCTCACCGATCGACAGGTCCAGGAGCACGGGGTTCATTAATCCTACAACAGGGGAGATTCTCAAAATAATCCCCTATCAATCCCTGATGGGGACCCCAAGAATCCTCTCATAGTCCCCATATATCCTTTGGCATCCCTCATGCCCACCATTTTGATAAAATCCCCATTGCACAGCACATTCCTTGAGAGCCGTTGTGCATTGGTTTGAGCTGCACAAAAAAGCTGTACTCATGTTGAGGTTTCATACTGGTTGTCCTGATGAACAACATGGTTTCTATTCAAACGGCTATGGTCATGGTCCAAGCCCAAGAGTGATACAGAAAGCGGATCACCTTCTTGCTGCAAAAGACGCTTGAGGCTCATTACTGATCATTGCTACAACGAAATCACCGCAAGCATCAATATGCGTTGTTTCAGTTATAGACCTGCACATTGCCTTGGCAAGCTGTGCTACCTGCACAGAGGATAAAGGGCCAGTAGAACAGTAGGACAGATGGGGGCAGTCAAAATGATGGGCTCTTTCTGGGTCCTCGATACAACGGCCCCTACCATTTGGGGTATCACAGAAAGGGACCAAAAATTAAAAACCTACCACATGGTACGTTTGCCAGAGGGACAGCTCAGCTTATCATTGGGATGCCAGGCGAACATGCGAATCAAACATGAGGAGTAAGGAAAGAACTGGATGGATACCGGGGCTTCCGAAACATTAGGGGTCTTTTTTCGGGGTACCTATAACAACGATTATTCTATGATCTATCTGAAGAATCCTAACTCCGAAGATGATTGTCACCGAAGATATTAAATCCTGGAGCCCCTCGCTAGCGCAGGATTTCCTGCGACACGTTTGGGCGCAGCCAGCCGGCTGGGATGCGGTGAAGTTCCTCACCACAGCCAAGGTTGCTTGTACGAAGCATTGGATCTGTGCGTGCGCGTATGCTCTTTGGAGCTTACAGCAGATGTCCTCATGCGGCTAAGGTGCAGATCAAGAGGGTAAGGTGCCCATGGGGTTTGAACATTTGCTGACTAGTCTGCGCACCCTCTTGATAACATTTTTTGTTGAGCAGACAGATGTGAAGTGCAATTGTTCGCCAATTTTGTTTGGATAGCAAAGAATGAAGGCAAGGAATAGTGGCCCCTACGTAACCATACGGCAGTGTGTTTTTCCAGCTTGTTTCCCTGACCCCTATATATCCCTATGTAACCCTGGTTTCCATTTCATGCTCCACTCGTTTTTCTATATAAGCAGTAGTACTGGCGTAGTTTGCATGTTCTCTTCCATTATTTCCCAAAACCCTAAGTGGTAGTTTCCGTTCTCTTTTCCGTTCCTTCATTCCCTGCTCAGCATTATATATCAATGTATAATCCCTATGTAACCCTGGTTTCCATTGAGTTGTCCCTTTGATTTTCCATTCAAATCGTTTCCTTCTTTTCAGCCAAGATTCTCCTGGACTTCGTCAGGAGAGTGACAGGTCTACGGACTCTCAGCGGCGCTGTTTCGCAGCTTGTGGGTGGGTTTCCGTGAATTAGTGATCCCCGTTCAGGGGCTCCCTATGATTGCATATACTTATTAGATTATCTTCAGAATTCTCAGGCTCTTTGGTTGTGATTATCTTCAGAAGGGTCCCAGAATACCAAGTTCTTGCTACTTTCTAAAGGGAATATTGTCATGTTGGGGTCTATATTGGGCCCTCTTTTTTTTTCGGAACCGTCACTCCCTTGCAAAGCCTTTGCTCAGCTATGCATGCACAAAGGACACCACCCAAAGGAACTTATGCTCCTGAAGTTTGGCGAGACTTCTGTCAGCAGGCCAGGCTGTCACAGTCAGTCCTTGTCCGAACCCAACAGTGGCATGAAGTTGGCACATCAGGTTCGCAACGTGGTTTTGAAACATCATGCTGGTCTCCAAGCGTTTTGCATTCTGCATTTGGGCTGGATTTTTCATCAGATTTCGGAACGCGCACAGCTGGGTGCTGCAATTTGCCAGTTTGCTGCGTAGGGTTTGGCCGCAGGTCAACGAGAGACTGAAGGCCTGGAACCCTGTCGAGGGGGCAAAGCCTGTCTTCAGGTGCCAGATGCTTGGCACGTTGCAGAAAGATTGGCTTGTCTTTTGCACAAAGTGCAAAGTTCTTTCTAATATAATCCCCATATGACGCCTACATAATCCCCGTATAGTCCCCAGCAACAATCACCTCAATGGGTAATATTAATGCTAACGCGCGCTGCCTCGGCCGGCTCGCCTGCATAGCAGCCTGGAACAAGACAGCCTCCACTCAACTTGTCCCTTCCTAGTGCCAGAATATTCTTAGATCACCTTATATAGTATCCGTACAGAATCTTAGCATAGATTCTCCTCATGAGACCCCTCACAGAGCCCTGTATGACCTTCAACAATACAATATCCCTATAGAGCCCTGTGCAATACTTGAATGGCCCTATAAAATTCCCTAAGAGTTCGTATGGAAATTACAGGATCCAGGAGGGAGGGGAGTGGCGTTGGGGAGGAGGGATGGGTTGGGGTGGGGGAGAGGGTCGCCGGGCCCTAAATTTCTCAGAGCCCTCAATTACCTGATTCTGGTGAACCTGGAATTCGACCCCCATGCTTTCCACCCAGTTGCACCTGCACCGTTCCTTCGGCAAAGGGGGGGGTGGGTAGCCCTGTGCAAATGGCCTTTCAAATCTCCCTTGGCCTTTGTCCCCTAACAAGACCGATTATTCCTGTAAGGAGGAATGTCCCAAAATTTCACATTGCAGTCAGTTCAGACAGGGTTTTCCGTCATCCTGTGACTAGTTGCTGTCCGCTTGAATTTAGGCAAACATGTCTCAGGACAGCTTTCGCCCAAAACCCGACATCCCAGTTTTAACGTGGATGCTTCAGGACTGTCCACAAGGCCGAAACCCTAAATCCTAAACCCCTAAACCCTAAACCCACACCACAAAACCTTGAACTAAGGAACGGATTCCTGACCAGGCGCCAGTTCAGCAGGTACATGCCACTGGCTTGTTACGTTTAGCTTACTTCTGGAAGGAAGGCATGGAAAAGAAAATGGAACCTACTATTTGGGATTTGGGGTGTAAGATTTAGAGTTTAAGCTGTCAGGTTCAGCGATTTAGTAAGTAGAAAGATATTGAGGGTCATTTACCAGAGGTAAGGAAGGCTTGCACCCTGTGCTGCGTAGCAGCCTGCGTCACGAGACAGCTCCATGATCCATTAATTCTACAAAGACTTTTGCCCCAAGCTCAGGGTCCTAAGGTTGCGCCAGCTGTCGCTTATCCAAGGTGGCAGATCTTTCGCCCACCTCTTGAGACGGCGCTTGAGCGGGGCGTCGAGTCTGCCAACAAGGCCTTGCAGGTCTCATAAGTGTAAGACACTTTGTCAGTGTGATCCAGAGGAACTGCTGCGCACGGAGGGATGTTTTTTGCATGCCACAATGTCCTTCCGATGAATTCTGAGCACTGGGAGTATGGTAGGGTGTCCGCGCAGCGGCAAATGGTCGTCGTGCGAAATGGTGATCACCTGCGCCCAGGGCTGACGGCGGATGGCATTACAACGTCAATCTGCTTGCTTCTGCCTTCATGTCTGCTGACATGCGGAAGCGACCTAGTCACGACTACTGCTCAAACTGGGTTGAACTTCAATGCAAGTCCTGGTCACTTAGATTATGTGGTATGTTGTCAAAAGATGGCCCATGTCGCTGTGCTACCACCCTCGACCCTCATCCCCGAAGCCATTCAACAGCCGGCGTGAAAGCAGGCAGCCATGCAAAAGGCTCTGGAGGTCCGCCAAGGGAGCTACAAGGGTTTGGGGCTTAGGATTTCAGACTCTGGTCTTTCTGTCATTTTGGCTACTGAGAGCAGCAGAACCCATAATCTGAGGTTTGATGCTGATTTAATCCCTGGTTTGGGTATTGGAAGCTTTAGCAGTTCTCCTGAAGACCCTCATCAGTTCAATCTGCGAACTCAAGACCTTACTCTTGGTCAACCCTCGGCTGGGTAGTCTGCACCGTTATCGTCGTCGAACATTCTTCTCATGATCATCATCATCATCATCATCATACCCCTCTTTCGATGCCCTAACTGTACGTGTGGAACTCGGCCAAGAAGCCGGAGGATGCCCAGAAGCTCGAGCCTCTTGAGCTGGAGCCTGAGCCTGTGGAGCCTACCATGAAGCCCCCACCGCCTGCACCGGCGTCCTCGCGCTGGTCTCGGCGCTCCAGGGAGCCTCCTGGCTGTTGAGCACTTTGGGAAAATCTTGTTCTGTAGCGTGCTTTTGTTGTTGTAACAACGACAACGACGACAACACGGATGACACCAACAACACCAAAGCCCGCAACTGTAAGCTACTCCTCCTTCTGCTCCTGCTCCTGCTGCTTATCCTGCTAGTACCACTGCTGCTGCAAGGCTACTGCTGCTGCTGCTGCTGCTGCTGCTGCTGCGGCGAGCACGACCGCCAATGCTACTAGAGCCACTTCTGCTACAATAGCAACTGCTGCTACTGGAAACAAGAAGAACTAGAAGAGCAAGCGCAACAACAACAACAACAACAATGATGATAATGATGTCAATCTTTGACGAGAGTCCTTGAGACTGTTTTCTTCATGGGTTCCAAGTTATGCCTGGTGCAACTTTCCAGAACCTGCCAGCATGAAGCATTGCATCGTGATTTTTTAGATGCTTCCTTAGTGGTAGCATGTGAGCTATAGCCGAAACTCCTAGCATCCCCGTTTCTAAGCCCCTATAATACGAATCCTGTATAGTCCCGTGTATAACCCCCTTTTAAGAAGTTTAGACTACAGCTCATGTTGTTTTGTGCTTTTTGCACAGTTTCAGTCACTGCCCACGTTGCTTGCTTCAGCTGGTTGGGTATGTTATCCTTTCCGGGGAGGACACGTATGCTTCCGCACGTGCGTGCTGGGCTCTTTCTGTTCATCAAACCCTGAACCCTAAACCCAGTATAAGCAGCTTAGGAGCCTCATCTCTGGAGTTCCTACTCCGTCCACGGCAAGGGGCTTCAGCCCCGAAAGTTCCGATGCTGAACTCGTCCAGGCCTGGACTGTAGGCTGGTCCTAGGAATTGGCATCCTGTAGCTATCTATTTAGATACGTGGTGTTATTATATTAGTGTATTGTCTTTATGTAATTTTTTGTAGTTGGCATAGTCTTATCTGAAAGTAGGATCTGTTGCAACCCGTGGAAGCCTGGGCTCTTGCAGGCGTTTATGGGGTTTCTAAGAATCGTTTAGGAGCCTCTTTTGTGGGCATCCCTACAAAAAGAATTTGGTCATCGAGGTCTATATTTCGAGCACCCTGTTTACGACACCCTCATACAGAATAGCTTTAGAATTCTAAGTGTAGTTTTCATTTTCTTTTTTCATTTTCCCTACATAACCCTCTATAGCGACATATGACCCTAGACCCTCGACAACCCCACATAGAGTAATTTCAAAGCTGCATCATTCAACTCAGGACGCCCCTACTCCTCAAAGCACCGTCGGAGATGACACCGGGGACACAGGCCCCTGGGCTGAAGGCTGAATGTTTGTTAGGGCTTACATTTAGGGTTCAGAAACACATTAGGAGTGCGCAGATGATGTGTTCTTGATACCGTGCTGCGCAACCTGTTTATCATAAACGTCAGGAAGTTACAGATGTTGCAGGTTGTTCGCACCAGCGGCTCCCAAAGGCTTAAGTTCTGGGGCAAGTTTAAGCTGTGCATCCATCTCCATGCTGCCTCCCAAGGTGAAGCACCGGAAAAGCTTCCGCCTGAAGCGTGGGAGAACCAGGACAATCAATGGAGTTTTGATACAGGGCTTTGGATCACAAACGTGAGTAGGGACGGGGTAGGATTGAGAGAATGCATGCTTGAGATGAAGGATTTCAAGTTTGGAGCAGGACTGCGTGGATTGGCTGAGAAGTCTGCCCTACGTCTGGCTCGAACTGCGCCTCGTTGCAAGTGTTTAGCTTCCAATCCGAGTTGTGCTCGTGCTGGTCCTGCGCAAGATGGCAGATCTGCTGGCAAAAGTAGCAGCAGCAAGCAGCCGCCGCCGCCACCTATCAGCATCCATACTTCATGACAGCAGCTAGCAGTGGGAGGAGGCGAAGAAGAAGCAGCAGGAGCAGTAGCGTGCCTGATGTAGTACTCCTGTAAGTCGTTCATCTATTGCTGGCAAAAAGAGCTCCATTTATGCACCGGGCGCAGCAGGAGTAGTACGTGAACGTGGTGATGGGTCGTGCTCGTTGTGCTGCCGCTGCTGCTGCTGCTACTGCTACTACACTACTTCTATTATGACGACTCCGGCCAGGGCCCTGAAGCCCTCTTCTCAGGCACGTTGCCAAGTTCGAGTTTCACAAGATCGACGGGTCAGTGCTTCCAGAGCTGACATTGTCCCTGGGCATGCTTGCGGGTGGGGTTTACGAGTTCGGAGTTTAGGTTGTAGGGTTTGGGGGTTTTTGGCTGAGGGTGTAGAGGGTTTGGGGTCCAGGGGTTTAGGGTTCAGGGGGTGCCACCGAAAGGTACCTTGCAGGTTTTTTTGTAGGCAACCTTCAGCATTGTTGAGGTGGCATGCAAAAAAATGAACTCGATTGATTGCGGATTGCATGGCCAAGTCCATCCGCAAGTGCTGAGAATTCCTAGCGCTTCACATTTTTAGGCTGGAGGGGCCCCCCAAACTTACCTCTGGTCAACAAAGAAGAGAAAGAATGGATCTTGATAATGGTCCCTACATCATGTCCACCAGTAAGGTAGTTGACACCTTGTTTTCCATTCCCTAAACAAAAAACCCAGACTGTCGTTTCCATTTCTTTCCCATTCCTTCATTCCCTGTTACTCACGGGTAAGCTTCGAACACTGAGGGAGGAGTTGGAAGAAGAGATCGAGATCTCTGAGTTGGAGCACCGTCAGGCTGAGGGGACCAAGCATGTGGCACGGTTTAGGGTTAAGGGGTGTAGGAGTCTGGGGTTTGCAGTGGCATGTTGGCGCTTCAATGTTTGGTTTGTAGAACCCGCCCAAACAGCTAGAGGTGAACCTTCTTTAGACGGCAGGCCAAACAAGTGGGGGTGTTGGTCCATCTGCTAGTCCTAGTCCTTTCCAACCTTAAATCATTGTTCTTTGAGATTCAAAAAATTAACTTTAAAGCTTCCGAGTTCACCTCAAAAACTTGACATCAAACAAGACCCCCCCAATACAATTGTGGATCCTGAATACGTCCGAAAAAACGACATGAATTCTTGTACCCATGTGAAATCCCAGTCCCACATTACAGTATGTTTAAAGACTCGGGGGCCCCAAGAAAGGAACCCCAATCTTTATCGAGCCCCCATGTGGAAAGTTGAGCCGGGCAAGGTTGCCTGCTTGGTCAACAGACTTGAGCCTTGCTGATGAAGCCAAAGGTCAGGTACCCAACCCCATTAAGTGGATAGGGGTTATATTGTTAGGGTTATTTTGGGATAATGGAAAAGAAAATGGAAACTACTATTTAGGGTTTATAGTTTAGGGTTAGGTTGTCGTCTCCTTTTGGGCATCGCATTTTGTTCAATTTCCGAAAAGACCCTGCTCAGCTGGCATTCCTGCCTGCCCCTTACTACCCAGTTATAGTTGAGGGTATTTATGGATAATTGGTGCTAATTCAGTTTAACGAAGGGACGACCTAGGGGGATAGTTTAGGAGGATCCCCCACCCTGTAATAGTGATTATAAGAGATAATGGCAACTATATTTGCGTCCTCTTTATTCCTAGCATCCCACTAGTACAGAGTGGGGGGTACTCCTAAGGGATGGTATGCGAGGGTGCGGGGTAGCAGGAGGCCCCGAGAAAGGCCAGCTGTGACGCCAACCCCAAAACCCTGAAGCCTGAACCATGTAGGGTTTAGGCTTTAGGGTCAGGGTTAAGTTGCAGACCTACACCCCAAACCCTGAACTTGTGAAGTGTTGGGTGTAGGGTTTAGCTTGATGTGATTTCTAGGACAACTACAGGAGTGGACTGCCCTATATATATATATATAATACCAATAGAAGTTTTTCCCCGACCCGGCTCTTTTTAAAGCTTCATTGTCCCATCATATTCTTTGACCTACTCACCAACACGAATCAGCCCAAGGAGAACCCAAAACTGCATCAAGGAATGTTGGTGAGCGTATAGGCTTCCTGCTTTTGTTGGGAACCACGAATTTGATCTTGATCTTACCATACGTCATGTTGTACGTTCCAAAAAGAAGCTGAAAACGCAAGAGATAGGGGCTTAGCGCAGTAGCGCAGACCTGCCGAGTGCGAGTGCGTGCGAGTGAGTCAGACGCAAAATTGCAAAATTCCAACCCACAAGTACAAGCCAGATCACCGACCAGATCCCCAAACTTACACTTGGTTGGCAAGGAATGAAGGAGCACATCCTGAAATACAGTAGTCCTTATCTGATCCACAATCATACCTCGTAGTTTCCATGTTCTTCATTCCGGTCCTCTGAGCTCTTTGCGCCAGGTGCTTCTGCAAGAGATCCACAACCTGTTCAAAACCTCACGGCCAGGCGCAAGGGTGCACAGTAGTGGTGACGGCTGGGACGTCCTGAGCATGCATTCGCAATTTCATTGGCCTGTGGAACTTCGTTTGCAGATGAATGTCGGCTGTTTCTCACTTGTCAGAAGAGAGCGGGGTTGCAAGGTGCGCCATAGATGTCAAAGCATTAACTGCAAGCCTGAAACCTCGGCTTCAATGCCAATTGTCGCATACTGGTGTCAGGTGTGGCTGCATCATCTGCTGTACAGACTTCAGACACCTTCCCACCAGCGTCTCAATGATGCACTGTTCAGAAATTGTGGGCCGGTGGCCAAGCTCATTTTCAACGTGAAACTACCGTAGAATAAAAACGCTGCAAGGAGCCGAAGGCAAGACTTTTGCAGGACCTTCGCCTGCAGGAAAAAAAGTACATGGTGCTCGCATGCCAAGAGCCGATTTCAGGACCCGGGCGTTTACAGAGTTGACAGGTTGCCAGGGCAGAGAGAGAGAGAGAGTACCATTCTTCAGCAGCACATGAACCCACACTGTGCAGAACAGTTTCTAGTTCAGAGAGAGAGAGAGTCAGAAAAAGACAGACTGCCTCACTTCCAGTGCTTTCCGCCAGCTCCACGCATCTTCTAGACCGCCTGCCAGCTTGTTCAACTCAAATTTCTGCATCTCCAGAAGATTTGCGCGCCCTGTTGCCATGTCCACCCCCAACGACGCTTTGGCTGCGGCTGTTGCCTCCGAGGCATCTGGGCTTGGTTACACGAAGAAGGGTGTTTCCAAAAAGTGTCAGCATTCAGCGATGTCCCGCTTCTGGACTATGATGAGAATGACCAGGCCCCAGGAGGAATGGGTCCCTTAAAGTGCATGCTAGCCGCTACTGGCCAGCAGTGCTATGAATGAAAGCTTGGGCATGTGCTTTGTTTCAATGGGTTTCTCATGTGTTGTACCTAGTGTCAGCAGGAAATTGCTTCCTTTGAAAAGAGCATGAGGTATTGTGGCAGCAATGACGATGCGGGTGGATCAGCACACATAGACTGCACCCGCAACATGAGCAGCCGAACAGCTTCCCATCCCACTTCAACTGAATCTGCAGACTGCCGGCCACTCTGAAGTGCCTATTCTAAGTCAGCATAAGCTCTGCGAGGATGATTTTGTTGAAAGCACTCCAATGGGGAATTGGCTGAGTCACACGCATAGAATAGAAAGTTGCTGACGAGCTGACAGAGGTGTCAATTGTCGCGATCCAGCGTCATCAGACCAGTTGTAATGCATGCTTGGCCAATCAGGGTACAGAGTCGAACTGCATAGCCAGAATGAGAAGTGCTTCAAGTGGCCTTTGACCGTGCTCATACCCGAGCTTCGGACATAAGACAACAATGAGGCGCCGGCTGCGCGGAAGACGCGAGGTGCTAACAAAATCACATGGCCGGTGGAGCCAGAGGCGGACCACGAGCCGCCTACGGAGGAGGCCCCTGTGTCAGTCAGTTAGATGACAAGAGGACGCGTAAGGCCTACTCACTACTCAGCTACTCAGTCCGACAGCTGCTGATTAGTGCTGTTAAATTGCTGCTAGTGTGGAATATTTGATGCCTTTGACATGCTCAGGCGGCCCAAGCTGAGGAGGGCCCTGCAGATCTGCCAGCTGGGCGGGGGCCTCAAGTGGATGCCACCGAAAACGATTCCATGCAGTCTTACTTGAAAGGAAGTCGGTCCCAGGTTCCATGCTGAGACACTTTGAGTACCTGTATCTTCAATCCAAGGAGGGCGGAAGGCGGCTCAGGTGCGAGCAAAGCACCTGTGTCGCGACCGGATGAGCTGCGCCGCTTTTTCACCAATGGCATCATCTCCGCGGTCTTGTGCCTCCGGCCTAAAAACGGAGTTGGGGTTATACAGTCATATAGGGATAATATAGGGATAATGGAAAAGAAAATGGAAACTACTATTTAGGGTTTAGGCTTTAGGGCTTAGAGTAGAGTTGTGGTCATCTCCGCGGTCCTGTGCCTCCGGCCTAACAAGGGAGTTGTACAGAGTTGTGGTGGACTCAGCTTTCATGAGTGCCTTCCTTTGAGAAGCTGTGTGTGGAAGCTGTCTTGAAAGTCTTCAGGTGGGCTATGGATGCTCGAGTGCTGGCATCTTCCACCACAGTGAAAGTTTCGCCCTTCTTCGAGGCAAGAAAGGGAGCAAATCACAGCCTCAGCCTCATGTCACCTCTGGCCGGATAAAGGTCCTGACCGTCCCCTTTGTGACAAAAGCGGATTGGAATCTTGAACACTGGCCATGCAGGTCCCCCTGGAGGGGAAGGACATGCGGTTCAAGATCAGCATGCGCGCCGCTTCCGTGTCAGATGAGCGTGGGGGCTCCTGCTTCCGACGGGCCAAGGGAAGAGGCATCATCGAGATCAAGCGGCTGGGCAGCAGGTGAGAGGCCTCGTTTCTAGGCTTGATAGTCAAGGTTGTGAAGCAGTCGCTTTGTTGCTGGTTGGCAATTGCAGCTTGAGCACATGAGGTCCCTACGGGGATCTTGTGTGATGGCGTTCCGGGTCCTGGCCAAGAAGGACATGGAGCTGTGCGAGTCACCAGTCATCGAGCATGACTTCTCCCTGCGACCACTGTGCCAGCTCCGTGAAGACAAGGTGCCGAAATCAAATGGGTTCTAGCTTCAAGCCCCAAAGTTTCGAAGATCTGGGCATTGGGGATAACGTACAAGTAGAATCGTGGAATAAGTTCGTATCTGCTAAGTGCACCTTAGGCGTATTCCTGCTTTCGCTGCCAAGCCAAGGTGTGTGACCCTGTCTGGGACTTCAGACGCGCTGTGAATGAGGAATCGCACACAGTTGCAGTGGCACTGGAGATTGCACCGGGCTTACACTGCATCGGTCATTGCCTCTATTGATGCACGCTTTTCCAGTTCAAGGGTCACTTGCCACTCTTGATAGCAAAGCTGAGCCTGCTACCCCATCAAAATGAAACACGTTCATTGAGCCTTGCTGCAGTGTTGTTCTTTTCCGGCATGAGGCTCAAACTTGGCAGCATTCCAGCCTAAAGATTGCGTCTGGGTCACGTGAAGCATTTTGACTGCGCAAGCGAGGGTTGAAGGAGAAAAGACTTGTCAGACGGAGCGGATCACGTTGCCCTGATTAGATTTTCTCCGCCCAACAGATAGTGGGCATAATCTGTGGTACAACGTTGTCATGAACGCGGAGCCCATCCCGCATGATCATGACACATTCGTTCGCTCTCACGGGTCACGGGTCCGTACACTGGTACATCAATTCATTGTTCTGTGAGCCGCAGTGTCGAGGGCATTGCCCCAATTCTGCATTTCCCACGCTCCTCAGTGAGGGCTTGGGTTCAGGCGTTATGAGAGCTCGGTGCAAGGGCAACTTTATGCTTAGCATGATGCTCAATTGATGAGTATACCCAGTCACCCATGAATGCGGATTTCCAGACGAATAAGACAGAAGCTGCGCAGTATTCAGTATGTGCTATTTCGCGGGCGGTTCAAGGTCAACATCCGAGTACCGCCAACGGCGTCCCCACCCTGTTTGGAGCGCCTGGGCAGTTTAAAGCAACACTCTTTCGTCCACAATAATGAAGGATCACTGCAGCCATCTTCTAAAGAATTCTATGGCAGAAGGAACTTGGCATTGCCATTTCCAGTGCGAAGCTTTGACAGGACATTTCACGGTCTTAGACAAGCACAGCAATTCTTGGGTTGAGTGCATGGCAATCGCCATTGTTGGCTTGCTAGGGTAGAGACGACTGCTTGTGCAAGAGTAGTCTCACTTGAAATCCCCCCGGCTCCTCGTAGGCCATCACATCAGCAAGTTGCCAGTGTGATAGTTGCCGAGCTGCTGCGCGAGGGACATTCTGCGGAAACCTGAATTCAATGATCCATCAAGGTCGCAGTCCCCTGTTGACTGGACTTTCTTTGAGGTCGGGGCGCCTTGTCGGAATAGAGTGGAATGGAGTGGGCTACACTGCAGATATTATGCTTCCATTTTTGAGTCCCCTTTCTAGCAGCCTACCGGGCAAGACCCAGGAATGGCTCCGAAGCTTGGGCTACAGCTGGATCCACAGGCCGACATTCAGTGTTTTGGGGTGAAGGTTTGGCATGGTGGTGGCGAAAAGTAGTAGCGCGAAGCGGAGAATGATCTAGCAGAATCTCATCACAAGACAACAATCAGCAGTCCCAAGAGCCGCAAGGGCATTGCCATGTATTGGGAGCAAACGAATGATGTTTGTTTGGGGATGAGCATCAGGCGAGGGCAGGATGAGGCAAGAATGAATGAGCTTTTCGAGTTTGGCAACCGGTCCCAAAATGAACGCCGCAAGCAGCAGTGAGCGTATGCACCAAAGTTCCCGCAGCTTGCATGACAGATGGGGTACAGCAGGGCAAGGACACGGGAGGACGGAAGGAGGACAGGGACTCTTCAGGCTCTAGGATTGATCTGGGCAAATTACAGCGCCTTCAAGCGAGGACAGTGGTAATTAGAGAATGTATGAGGTAAGCGAGGTAGAGCAAAATGGTGAGGAAAAAGGTTGTAAGGGCTAGCACCGTCAGTCACAAAAGCCGCAGTGGCTTGCCAGACTTCCCGAGCCGACATTCATTTCGTGCTTCAAAGCAAGTTGAAAGAGGGCATCGATCCGAAACAGGCAAACACTTCCGAAGCTGCCCCTCTGGCTGTGTCGGAAAAGGAGCGATTCGCCCATTTCCTGGCTCACACATCTCAACACACAACAGTACCGTTTCAGCTTGAAAGCAGGAATGGACTCCTATGGTGGCCGTTGTATAATCATTAGTACAGTTGCTTCCATGTTCGTTTCCATTGCCTAGACCCTAAGCATTGACTAATGATGAGAAGGTTCCATTTCCTGTTGCATTCCTTCATGCGATGGGCTCTCAGGTTACCCTAAACCCCTAATTGTGTAGTAATGGTTCCATCTCACTTTCCATGTTCATTTCTGTTAAGTTTTCCATTTCTAGGGGCAATATCCGAAAGCTTCCATTGCATTTTCCATGTGCTTCTCCACTATTCCCCATGTCCGTACATGCAGGGACCCCAAGAAAGACCTTCAAAATGCTTTAATCCTTATTATAGGGACCCCCAGCAAGAACACATTATTTGAGCCAATACTCCTATATATATATATATAATATCTCCCATATTCCCATATAATCTTTGTCCAGAAGCAGAACTAAACTAGCAAGACAGGTGCGCCGAAGCCTTCGTTGAGCAACAGATCGCAGGCCCAGAGCTGGCCGGCATCACATTGAACCGCGGCCTTATCCCAGACAAAACGATCCCAAAATTCTCGTTTCTACTTTCGGGGAACCAAGGGATTGTTCTTTGAAGTTCTATTTTTTGGATCCTTTAGAGGGCCTGAGTAGCTCACGCAGTTTCCTCTGATCCCAGGCACCCAAGCAGAACATGAATCTAATGCGTAGGCCACCGTTTTTTGCTATAATGCCGCTTGAAATGTCAATGAAGAACCAAGCCCATGCCTCAATTCGATCACGAACTGTCCAAAGCTCGAGAAAAGTGCCAGGTGCCCCCTGCAGTCTGCAGGTAGCTGTCAGTGGTACCATCAGTTTTGCATAGTGTGCAGAACAGTGTAACGAGCACCCGTGGTCTTTTCATACAGATGTGTTTGAATCGTGACTGCCACAAGAAACGGCAAAGCAGATGTAGTGTGGCAGCAACTCCGAAAACTTCTCGGATTCCTGGAATCCGGTTTTCGATGGGCTTTGCACTTGTCTGCCCCGCAAGGAAGGAGATGAGAGACGACATTGGCATTGCGGAGCTTGGATATCGAAAGGTGTTGGGCTTGATTTGGTTTCTTTGAGGTTTCGTTCTTCATTGGCTGGGAATCGGAAGCGCTCAAAGGAAGAGGGCTCAGAATCAAAGTAATTCCAACCCTGGCGGCAACACATTGAAGCACAGTGCATTCGCCTTGTATAGCTTTCGATAAGTGTGCCGTGCTAGGCAGTCAATGCAAGGGAACTTGGACAGCCCAATCTTGGCCATGAAATGTGAAAGGGATTTATTGCAAACAAGGGGCCAATACAATCGCGAATATCATCCCCTCGTAATCCGGACAAATCCTTAGGGGCCCCTGTTGTCGAGAAACTGCCTTGTAAGCCAGCTTAGATTCTGCTGCGGGAGATTCGCAAGCTCTTCGCACCGGCTGCACCTTGATAGTGCATGAGGTAGGGGCTTATCATATCTTGGTGAGTCTATATATCTGTTTCCTGGAAATATTGGTGAGGGTATATATTGGGTCTCCAATTTGAGGGACGAGTTTCTTAACGCATTTACTTCTTCTTGACTTCAGATATGTACAGTAATTTTCATCAAGAGCTGAGAAGGTTGGAATGTTCTGGGATATCTCGAGTATGATTAAGACATCAGGCTTGTTGGTCCAAGTTTCTCTGAGGTCCGAAAGTTAGTTACCTTGAGAGCATCTTCTGGGTCCAATCTTCTGGGTCCAGGGTTCGTCCCCCTAAATTGGAACCCTAAAAACACTGATCCCGAGGTATAGCGGTAAACAGGATCAACTAAGTCCCATGGCTTGGTGTAGGACCCCCTTTCACTTTGAACCTGTCCGGTGCAACATTAGTGGAGTTTAGTGCCGTGGGCAGGCTCTAACTTGGTGGATACAACCGTAGGAGCAACAGGCAAGGGAGAGGGAGAGAGCAGCAGCAGCTGGCGTTATGGCACGAGGAACAGGAACAGCTGTACTTCACGGAAGCTTTGAAAGAACCAGGCTGACAGATAAGCGCGCAGAGAGGTCCCAGAAACAGGATCCCTCCCTGACACGAGAGGGACGCTTGATCTATCTCGGGTTCACACGTGGGTTTCCAAAAAAATTGGAATCTCAAGTAAGGCACCCCCTAGCTTATGGAAACTGCCACCATTCCACCACTGGCCAAGTCTTGAGGAGGGCTCCGCTTGATGCACAGCATCATCTCGAAGGCCCGTTGCGGGCGGTGTCCAGGGATCTGCTGCAGCTCAAAAAGTAGGAGATGGCACTGTCACGCTTCCCTGCTCTTGTCCGATTTTTTGTGAGGGACACTGTTGGTTCTGAAACCCTGACAGGCATGCACACTGCATGTTGTCTCAACATCTTCTCCGGCGAGGTCAAGCGAGGCCAAGTTATCTCCAGGATGGTAATCGTCTTGTACAGACTGCAGGCACTGGACACCAGTGTTTCCACTGCTTCAATTTCCCTGTTCGGGGAAGAACGCAGATGCTGACTCTACGAGTCTGTGCTTTCCCGAGGCAAGACTTTAGCAGGACCTTTGGTGGGAAAAATCGCTCCAGCTTTGTTGACTTGCGATTGCTGGCAACGCGGCGTCGAGCTTTCTTGAAAGGACTTTTTACTTCTTGTGGCGGTAGTCCTCTTCACCTGCCGTCTTGTTGCAAGACTGCCTGGTGGTGGTGCAAGACTGCATGGGAAGCTCGAACCGCTTTACAACCTAATCCCAGGCCTGCTGTTCGTTTTTGCTTGTCTTGCGCACATTGGGACACGTGGGGATAGACACGATATGTAGGGGAACACAGGGATGAGGGTAATATTGGAGAATCACATGGAAAGAGAATCGCAAACGAAATCGACATTACTATTGGAATGGCCAATCTTGCTGAGCTTGCCTAAACCGTAAACAATCGAGTAGATGCTAAGGAAGACAGAGGAATTAGCTCGGGCCTTCCGCAAAGTCTGTCCTTGTGAAGTAGTGCAGCTCATCTGTCTACTTGCAGGACTTCTGTCGCGTTCTAACGCCACTGGGCTCGGGCCATCTTGGACTCGGGCAAAACACGCATGAGCGAGCTGCAAAAAGTTCAATGGTATACAGGACGATGAAGAGCTGGAGGACTGCAGATTTGCAGCTCCGAGTTCTATTGCCCTTCATTTCCAGCCTTGCCGCAATGAGCATGTGCTTCTGCAAGGAATTTATGCATACATATATATATATACATATTTGTTTCTGATTGCCTCCACCGACACACATGTGCGGGCTACGCAACGTCACAGCAACAGCAACGCTTTCTCACTCGCCACAGCGCAGGGCTGTATTGCTGAGGAGGTCTGCCTCAGGGGCATCAACAGATACACGTACGCATCAGCACAAACATCATTCGTAACGGCTCATTTTTCCACTAGTTGGGTAAAGCTGAGGCTGTTCCAAGCTTTTGCTGACTACAACCAAGCACTACGAGAACTTCAAATGAGCTCATGGCATTTACCCTTGCTCGCACCAGGCATGCAAGTTGCAATGCCGCTTGCTGTGGCTAGGATGCAAGCCTGACTCCAACCCTACATTCAGAGGCAAGGTCGCCAGGAAAGAGCGGATGCAGGAGCACACACTGCTTGTGCAGCTGCTCCTCAGACGGCGTAAGCGACGTGAGTAGCTTCTTGCCACATGCTGTCAGGATGAGAGATTTCCTAGCATCTTACTCTCTTTTGAACACAGGAGAGTCCATGACATCATGGCTGGTTTTGTGGGTAACTGAACCTGTCCCCCAGCCTTTCATCTCAAACACGCCCACGCTCTCGGATTTCCATCGTCACACACTTCGCCATGTGGGACTCCGTCGAGATGGCTGCTGCTGACCAGGTGCCAGTGGGAGTGGGTACCTGTCAATGAGCTTTTCAGACATGCAATGCTGTCATGGTTCCTCACAGCATGCTTTTTTGTCCCTAGCAGCAAGAGCCTCCAGCTCTGTCATCATGAACAGTGAGTTCTACCGGTCAAAGATCCTGTAGTCGGCGAGGCGCCAGAGCAAAAGGCTCACGGCTCCAACAAGGTGACTCGGGCTTTCGAGCTAGAGCTAGATTCCGATCCACCTTTTGAGGCCGTGAATCGGCTGCGTCGCTATTCTGCCTGCTGCAGCATTAGCTGACCGGTCATTGCCTCCTGTGATAGCGCGGTGCAGCAATTTCTGAGTCACATGCAGAGTTGCACCTTGGGTGCTGAGCTGGTGGAGGTGGGAGCCAGTCCTGTGGAGGAAAGTCCATGTGGCGGACAGGACCCCATCCAGGGAGTAGCCGCTTCATGTTTTCTGATTTGGCAAAGGGGTTTCTGCATCGGGAGGATGAGCTGTGACTGCAGCAGGAAATCGTGATCCAGAACAAGCGCCAGATGTGCAAGGCCTTCTTCTTCACCGACTGGTGCGCCAAGGGCAGCATGTGCCCGTTTGCGCACAGCGCTGAAGAGCGGATTGAAGAGTTGAATCAGGCCAGGTATTTGGATTTGAGCGCCCTTGCACTTGCACCTGCCGCCGTCTCCTGTGGGTAGGCTTTGCCGTACAAAGCCACCTTGTGCCGCTTCTTCATGGCAGAAGGCTTCTGTGGTAAAGGGGACTCGTGCGAATTCGCCCACAGCGACGATGAGCTGGCCGGAAATGTTGACCAGAAGGCATCCGATGTCCGTAACTCACCTAGCACGCTGTAAGAAAGCCTGTGGAAGCCCCCAAGCAGGAAACCACCGAGTCCCCACCTCTGACCTTGTGCTCCTTTGCAGTCCAAGATGGGACTCTGCAAGTTCCACCTGGGCGATGGCTTCTGCGGGAAGGGACGCTTCTGTGAGCAGGCTGAATTATTTTCAGATCTTTGCAGGACCTCGACTACGAGAAATCCCTGAAATATTCTACCTAGAAGCGTTGATGATATTGCATAATTTTCATTCAGACCCGTTCAACTTTGGTTGGTCCTAGGTTCAGGGCACGCGGGTTTGCTGGGATTCCGGCCCGAAACAGCTGCTTAGAGATGACTGGCAGCTCGTTTTTCAAGGCAGGGTTTCGTTTTCGGGCGATGTGTCAATCATTCATCCTCGTGGGTGCGAAAGTCTGTTTGTGGCGACTACTTGTTCTCCAAGCTGCAGCAAAGACAGAACTAATCGGGACTGAGGCCCTTCCACACTGAGCCCCGCGTTTCAGACCCATCTGCATCCCCAAATCCTGCACGCACCCTTCTTCCAAGGCAGGTATGCCCACAGCGCAGAGGAGCTGAGCCGTCTCGAAACTTGTCCAGAAGCAGACTGTTGTGGATGGGAGATGTCTACGTAATTTCAGCAATCTGGCACCTGCGATTGCTTGAAGATGTCCCGAGGCTTTGCTGAAGTACAAGACCCGCCTTTGCCAAAAGCATTTCCTGCACGGCTCTTGCTCCCATGGCGCATGGTGCACCTTCGCGCACACGTCTGAAGAGCAGAGGCCAGACATCATGGACAAGGTGCCTTTGGGAGTTTTCAGGCCTTCCACCCTTCTGTACATAAGAGATTATCCTAGCAGTGATCCGGCAAAAGTACTGAAGCATTGTTTTCTGAGGGAACCAGTCCAAGGCTGCATGCATCCTCCAGATTTGTGCCTGTTAGGTCCTGCCAATGCGCCATGTCTTGTGCGCGCGTTTCTGCAGCGGCTTCTGCTTCAAGGGCTCCTTCTGCGAGTTTGCCCACCAAAAACGAGAGGCCGGCATCCCGTGCCTTCGTCAAAAAAGGCCTTTGCCAAAGAACCTTCCTCCGGCCTAAGTTAAGCCTAAGCCCATGCGAGCATGCCTAGTTTTCTACAGTCACGACCTTAACCGTGAACCTCACCAACGCTTTGTCGAGAGAGGTGTCGGCGCTTCAGCTGGAGCCAGTATCCGCTCAGGAAGCGAAGTGCTCAGTGACAGATTTTTGGGTTCCGGGTAAATCTTTTCTGGCCCGGTTCGCCGGGGCCGGGGCTGAACGTTTCTGGCTCACAGTGTGGTAGGCGTGATTCTTGCCTTCTGCTTGCGCAGGCTGAGCATACGGCCCTCTTGTCTGAGTCTTCTGGCAAAGACTACTTGGAGGCCCCTTGCTTCTCGTGATGATCAGAAAGAGTTTGCTTGGATCCTGGCAACGATCGAGGCCTGCTCGGATGCGGAAACAATAGACACTCACAGTGACTTCTCACGGTCACCATCAGAGGACCCCCCTTGCCCGCCCCGCGAGTGGACCTGTGACACTGTGGCCGAGTGGATGACTTATACCGAGCAGGGAAAGTTCAGCAGGCGGGCCTGGGCAGGGAGGGTGGCCTGCTGTTGCAAGTGGCCATATAGCTCGCAGAGAAAACCTTCATTTTGGGAGGTACGCTGACGCCTGCCGCCAGAATGCTGTTGATGGGCAGCCTGATATGCATGGAGCTTTTCAGGTACTGTATGAGGAAGCACTGCTTGCCTTGCTAGCATTTTGTTTTGTCTTTCAATTTCAGATTCATACTCTGACTTCCTATTGCCTTTCATCAACCTCCAAATCTGAATCTCTGGATTAACTTTACAGCTTGCTTGGCTCTCCGCACGTGACGCCGTAAGAAAAATCTTGCTCTGAATTACGAGACGTTGCATCATAGCAGAGCACTCCTGATAGGATGCTTTAGACTGCAGAGACAGACAGCGGTGCCATCTGTCATGTTTGCAGAGATCCTTGCCGCTGATGCGAAGCACTGAAGAAATGTTCTGCTCTCGACTTCATGCAATAGGAATTGCTTGCCGCGATATCAGCGCTCAATCATCAGCATGTTTGCTGAAAGCATGCTACATAACCGCGATTCTAGGTGGTCGTTTGCAAAGGGGCGCGCGCAAACAATCAAAAGCGATTCAGATAACGTGTTTGCTTGCCTGTTGAGGAACTGTTTCAAAGCATCGCACAGGGCAGGTTACTGAAACCAACATCCTAAAACGTTGCCTTTCCATATCTGCAAAATGCCAAAAATGACAAAGCTCAAAACCTACATCCCAAAACGTTGCCTTTCCAAATCTTCCAACATTCGCAAAGTGCCAAGAACAGCCAAAAGCTCAAAACCTACATCCCAAAACGTTGCCTTTCCAAATCTTCCAACATTCGAAACATGCCAAAAACAGCAAAAGCTCAAAATCTACATCCCAAAACGTTGCCTTTCCAAATCTTCCAACATG